AAAATTCTACACAGAAATCAATTTTAACTAAATTGAAAATTTAGTTAAATGGAATCGCATAACGTAAGTAGGCTAAGTAACGATAAATATAATCCATAAACGATTTATGTAAAATACTTGCAATTAAGGATAGGCTAAGCTAAATTTGACACTGCAAATCAAAGCAAACCTAATGCGAAGGTAAAGGGAAAAATGGAAAATTTGTGCATCAGTAATTCAAATAAATGTGACCCAATACTTAAACTTAAACGGAAAAGCGTTGCATTTACATTTCACATAACAAATACATGCGTAAATATATATATAACTACTATATATATTAAATATATATTCGAAACTCTCTTGAACAACAAAACAGCAAACATATTACATAACAAACCGAAACTAAATAAAGTACACTCACTCGCAGCCAGCAAGCAAACAATTGAACATTGAAAATTGATCGAAAATTACGAGATCATACACAAATAAAACACATAAAAAAATTAACAAAATCGATAGAAGAAAAATAAAAATGTTGACTAACACAACAATATAAAAAAACGAATGCATTAACAATTTAACTGTAAGACACTAAATAACGAACTTAAGCTAAACGCAAAACAAATTGAAATAATAGCAACAATTGCGAAAAATAACACTAAAATTGAAAACAATTAAAAAAACGACAACACATTAAAAGAAAACAATTACTATATAAATAAATGTTACGCGTTATTAAATAAAGAAGAATGAAAATAATTTGTTTTAAAAAAAATCCTACCAGTGTTTTATTCAAAAATGGTTTTAATGCTAGGGGAAAATTTAGAATAACCATCTTAGGTATTTTTTTTCTTTTTTCTTCTTTGACCCTATATGAAATAAATTCAAAAGCTTCAAAATCAATTCATTGTATTTTATTTCTTCAATCCAATTATTTTTGTGCTCACATGTAGTTGAATGAACTAAACTTTGTGGTCGTTGCTGCCATATATTTGCCCAAAGCCAAGGCAAGCAGAGAGAACTGGCATCCCGGATATACCTCGTGACATTCGCGTGAGTTCCGCTTGGACCTGCGGTAGATACGATCGTACTCGTGATGGGCCTGCGGTTCGTGGCCAGCCACAGGTGATGCTGGAAGGCTAAAGACGGTCCTGACCAACTCCTGCAGCATGTTACCCCGTTTCTGGGGCGGCAGCATAAACCTGGCACTCTCGCAAAGGGCTCGAGCCACGCACGAGCGACCATTGAATCCCATACTGAAAAAATAAAATACAAAATTTAGTAAATTAATATTCTGCAATAAAACCAAAACATATTTTTAAACAAAAAATATATTTTTTATCAAAGAAATCTAAAGAAATTAAAATATTAATATTTATACCAAAGCAATTTTTATACACCTGGAGAAAAAGACTAAAAATAAAGATAGTATTTTTTTCTTTCTGTTTTTTTCCTATTTTAAAAATATTCCAAAATAGACGATACTTAATGTCACTATGGACGGCAGTCCATGTAGTGACGAAGCGCACCAGGAGAGTGTGCGAAGGCGACTACTATTATATAGCCGCAAAATTGAAAATCTGCTGTGATAGTCCGATCGTAATGAGTAATACACCAATCGAAAGGTATTGCAAAAACTTAAAGGATTGCATACCAAGACTTTAAGAAAATCAATTGGCTTGGGGGAGAGAGCGGTGAAAGTGAAAAAGTGAAAATTTCGAAATTTGGAGCTGTTGGGGCCGGTGGGGATAAATGCCCCCTCGCAATGTTTTAGTTGTATTCCTTTTGAAAATACCCGTCGAATGAGGGGTCATTTGTCAAAATCCGACCCTCCGTTCAAAAGTTATAGCCAAAATAAGATTTTCTTCTTCTTCCCAAAATGAAAATTTAATTCTGTTTGTCCACTTGTCCACTTGTCCACTTGTCCAAAATATGTTTTTTAAGTTCTGAAAATTTGATATGACGTTCATCACATCGATATAAAAAACTTTTGTTCTACCACTTTTGGAAAAACCCGCTAGTTTAGCGGGAAAACAGCTATAAATAGCTAAAATTCGGAAAGCCGTAACTTCTATACTACTAAAGCTACAGACTTGTGCTGCATCTCGTTTGAAAGGTATTTTTAAATGCTATAAACGCCTTGTAAATGCAATTTGTGTAAATGTAATAGTTAAAAAGATATGAACAAAAGAAAATTTGTTTAAACTTTTTTTTTAGCTTTTTTTTAATTTTCTCAAAAACGGCTCTAACGATTTTTCTTACAACTTTAAACTGTATAGCCCTTGAGATTCCTTAAATTTTGGTATATAACACATTACTGTAAAAAGTCACGTTTAAAAGTTATTTTTATACGAAAATAGACACTTTTGCCAGCTCGAACAATTAACGCTCCCTGAGTATTGAATTTTGTGGGAGGGTATCCGAACTGTATTTTAGGGTCATGGAATTAGTAAATTTGCACTTAAGAGTTCCATATAGGAATCTTTTGTTCTACGACTTTTGGAAAAAGCCGCTACTTTAGCGGGAAAAAAGCTAAAAATGGCTAAATTTCGTTAGTTTTTAAGTTCTACACTATTAAAGGTACAGACATGTGCTATACCTCGTTTAAAAGGTATTTTGAAATACTTCAACGCCTTTTTAACTTAATTCGTTAAAATACAATTGTTTAAAAATTATGATTGACCAATTTAAATTTAAATGTTTACATTAGCACCTATGAGAGCAAAAGTAAACAAACAAAAACTTCTGATATCAAATAAAAACACCTCTAAACGAGGTAAAAAACTAGTGACGATCGCACCTTCAACGTACAAAAGTTCTGATATCAACTTTTGTGACGAAAAATGATTTTAGATGCGACTAAATAAGTACGTTACCTAAAATTTATTCATTCGGCACGCTACAACAAAAAACTTTCGTGTAGATATTAAATATTTGCTAAAGCGGGCCGAATGAATAAATTTTAGGTAACGTACTTATTTAGTCGCATCTAAAATCATTTTTCGTCACAAAAGTTGATATCAGAACTTTTGTACGTTGAAGGTGCGATCGTCACTAGTTTTTTACCTCGTTTAGAGGTGTTTTTATTTGATAAGTTGATTTGGAAAATTTAATTTTTGTAATTTTCAACTAATAATAGTTTTACTTCTTTAATTGAAAAATTCTTTGATAAAATATATAATGTAATATTTGAACTCCTCTGTCTAACCATCGTAGAAATAATTTGTATTTCTTAAAAACCAGTAAATAATTTCCTTAATAGTCCTTTTTAAATGGGTTCCCCAACTATTCAAAACTCCTTAGCTCACACTCACTTGTCGAATAAGGACTGCACCTCGTCGTAGAAGGCTCGTCGGGAGCGACGCTTGATGGTGTCCTTGGCCAGGGTGGCGTTCAGTCCGTGGGCGTGTTGAATGACCCACTGGTGGTTGGGCAGGTCGTAGGCCACGCCCCAGTTGACGGCCCAGCTGAGATAGTCGACGTCGGGGTTGCCAATCATGCCGATCGTCATGCAGATGGCTCCCTGGAGGCATTAGATCGTCATTAGAACTGGCTAAATGGCCAACTGAGATGGCTGTTAACGCACTCACACCGAAACCGAAGAGCCCTCCGGAAATGCCAGATAACGCTTGTGCCGGCGCAGAACTTTCGTCACCGCCCGTGTGGCGTTGGCATCTGGTGAAAGCACCTGGGATTGCACCTCTTGCAGCGGTATCCAGAATGCCAGAAAAAGCCAAGGGAAGTGGGAGAGCCTCATACTGTCGGTAGAACGTTCCGTTGGAAACTGAACTCTGGCCCAAAACCGAACGAACCATCCGCTTTAGCGGCTTATTAGCTCAAGTGCTCTGTTGATTGCACTGATTAGCGGCTGCCTGCAAAGTCTGCTTTTAACAAGTGCCCATTGTTGGGTGTTTTTGGGTTCGGGATGGGTTGGAATGGTTTGGTATGGGGGTAACTCGTGGTTGTCAACAGGGCCAACACTGATTGCTGTAGCATGTAAATTTCTGTCAACAGTGGGAAATACACTTGTTTTGTTTCCACTTCCACTCCAATTGTCAGCATTGTGAAGCGAAAAACAAACAGTGCAAATTATGGAATTGCCAGTTCAGATCCCAGGAGATGGGATGCACAATGGTGAGTCGGGATCCGAATCCATCAAAATGTCCATACCCTCTCCTAATTGGAAATGCATTTATGGCACCCCAACACTTTGTAATTTAATTTTCAGGTGATATCATAATAATAATAATAATTTTTTCCTTCAATTGCCCAAGATAACATAGGAAACTCACATGCGCTTCACTTTTCAACGAAGCGCACCACAAAATGATCCAAAAAAATGGTCAATAAAACTGCCAATGGACGACGCGTATTTACTTAATTTCCATTCAACTTTTTGGTATGGCCCACAATGAAATACATTTTTTCGCTCATCAATTTATGCACTCATTTTTCGTTTGTATTTATTGTTTGAACTGTGGAAATATTACAGAATTTGTTCAAGCTTAATGCATGGCAGTATTGGTTTTTTTCTTAACAGTGTTTCAGGCTTCAATAAGCCCGTGAAATGTAGGTGCCAAGCTGAGCAAACAGTAGAAGGTAATTGTAGGCGAGCCAGTGAGCTTAAAAAATATTGTATATATTTTTCTTAAATTTTTATAGAACTTTAAAATGACCCTAAAGAAGCTGGAGATCATCAAAAAACTTTAATTGCTTGATTATTTCGCCAACGAACTTTATTGAAATATTTAAAATGCATAGCAATTAAAGCCTCAAATTGCCGGAATCGCTTAAATTATCGAAGAAGACCGCCCAATGCGAAATGCACAGCGTATTTATGATTCCGTTTATTACAATTAAATAGAACATACATCACAATCCATTAACTTTATATAGGGTGTCATAGCAGCAGTTAGCCGGCGCCTTGCTGCCCGGCCATCGCAGTTCGATAAATTCATTGGCATGTTTTCCTTATTGCTCGCCTTTTTATTTTTATTTTTATTTATATTTTTATTTAATCAACGTGCGTATTTCTCCTGAAACCGTTCGCTGATGAGCAGCAAAAAACTCTGCCGGCAATGCGGCCCGTACAAACTGGCGCACTCGTGGAGCGAATGGCCGGCGGTGAAGGCCTCCCGATACTTGGGCTTATGGGCTATCTCCGGATGCACGTAGCGCAGCATGATGCGGAAGATATCGTGGAAGAGCGTTAAGCCCGGCGGAGCCAGCAGATGACGTGCCTCGCACAGGGTCCGCATGATGCAGTAGTCGGGCTGGTAATTAAACCTGCAAGGGGAGGAGAGTGAAGAATTCAGCCGTTACGGGGTGCATACTCTTAACAAATTGCCCTGCTTAAATTCCCCTTAAATCGCACTATAGCTCTGGGGGTTTTTTCGAATGAGTCATGGACATAAAGACGTGCACTTTTCCTAAACTATTTAGGGGGAACTTGAGCTGAATAGGGGAGAATTTTGATAATAATGGTAATCTTTTGATTAAAATGTACTTTGAATTTAATAGACAGTTTTAGCTTCTGACTTTGCTTTGTGACATAAATAAGGAAAAAAAATCGCTGGCATTAAAAAATTTTAAAGCTTGTAAAAAAAATCTTAATAAACTTTTCGTTCAAGTTCATTGAGTTCACTTACATGGTGGCCATCATGGAGATCATATCGAATAGCATTCCAGCCGGATTCTGGGATTCATTGATCACCCTTTTTCCCTGGCTCTCCAACTCCCTTCTCAGCCGGCGTGACATGGCCGAGGGTCGGCAGTAGTAGGTGCCATACATATCCTTGACCAGATGCGAGGCTGGGCAACCCATCTGCATCTGCTGCGAATAGGACTTCCTGCGACTCAAAGTGGGACTGAGGGGAATGCCTTGGGGGTAGGAAAAGTAGAAGGACTGTATGGGATCGGCGGGATTGAGAGGCACAATCACCGGCTGTGGCTGGAAACCAACTGGAGAAGCTCCGGGAGCGTCTGGTATTAGTGGTGGTGGAGGTGGAGGAGGTGGTGGAGGAGGAGGAGGCGGTGGCGGCGGTAGAGGTTTCACCTTGGGCTTGCCCACATGCCGAGGTATCCAATCTTCAATGGCAGCGGGCAGTTCATAGAGACTTGTGATCTCGGCCAACCAGAGAAGACCCCTGGGAATGGTGTCTAAAACTGCCTTGGCGCAGTTGGCCGTTAACTAAAAAATATATTAATTATAATATAAATATTTTATAATATAATTCTAATTCAAATTAAACCCACCGTCATGGCAGATCCCAGTTCAAAGGTCAGCCAGCGCTTCTGGCGATGGAGTAGGTGAATCTTCTCGTGCATATAGGTGACTCCTCGGCTGCCCGAGTTTAAGTTTGAACCCAAGTCAGCCGTATTATTGCCTGCTGAAGTTAGGGCCACCAAAGTGGCCAAAAAGACCAGTCTAAACCAAATAAAGCTCTCCATAGCGAAGCCAGCGGAGCCCAGCGAAGAACTGAGATCCGAACGTGCGACATTAAACTCCAGATTGAACAAGTGGCCAAGTTCCAATTCCATACGCGTGGCTCTTCAATTTGGTCCAAGCAGCTATTTGGCCAAGCAATTAGTCCCAAAAGGGGTCACTTGGCTCTCTAATTCAATTAACAAGTTGCCATTTCCATAGAACGATAGAACGCTAAGACAAAAAGCTGAACAAAAGATGAGCCATATTCATGGGTAGAAATCAAGGGCCGAATCTTTGATTCAGTTGGAAAGATGTCTGCAACTTGGCTGTCGCTACTGCTCACGGCTTGGATGTTGGGCGAATGCCAGAGCAATTCGCTGGATGAATTTGCTACTCCAGCGACGACGAGTCACGAAGCCGGCAAAGTCAACAATGTCACGCTGACTCCGCCAGGACCCACAGTCGTCGCACTGGGGAAACAGGACGATTTCGACCGGGACCTGGAGCAGGACCCACTGACACCACATGCGGCCCCATCGTCGCAGCGGAAACTCTCGAGAGGCAAGCGTTTTGTGGCCTTTCCCCAGGGTTCATCAGCTTCGGTAAGTCAACGAACCCTCGAACAATGGGACAACAAAGCAACCCTCTGCACAGAAAGAAATAAGAAAGGACACTAAATAAGAGAGGAATTCTTAAAACTTATTTTAGAAAACTAATAATTATAACTAAAAATTATTTTTATCGCCACTTAAAAACTTTTAAAAAATGCCAAAATTCTCTGGAATTTTACTTTTAAATAAATTCACACAAAACAATGGGAAAATAGTTGGATTTTTTGGTTTTAATTAAATGTAACTTTTTTAAATAAACTGTTTTTATTAAAAACCACTATTTTATTTTTTGTATTTTGCGTATGTCCTCAAGAATTGTATTAAAAATTCTTTATATCAAATTTATATTCTATTGATTTGTAAAATATTTTACATAATTTTTTTAGTTTGTTGTTAAAAATTTACCATTAAATTTTAAATTTTTAAATGACTTACCTTAACTTACCTTAACTAAAGAAAATATGTAAAATACATTTAAAGATATGCCAGAATTTTCTAAAATTTTTCTTGTAAATACCTAATCAATTCAAATATATTGTGACCGTGTTATAGGGCGCTGTCTGCTTGACCACCGGTGTCATCGGCAACCCCAACCTGCTGTACCTCAGTTTGGGCATCAATTGGGGCGTCGCCTACGACTTGCCCAATGTCACCTGGGTGCTGCAGAATGCCCACGGCTGGACCACAAAGAAGTCGGCCAAGGCGCAAATCAAGCGCAGACATCGCCGAGAGCTCTACGGCCGCCTGGAGACAATGATAGACAGGTGAGTGGATGGGGATTGGGATTCATGGATTCATGGGTCAAGTCACAGGCACTCCAGTCTCCAACTCGAGTCCATTTGTGTGTGAAAACAAGGGCAAAGTTGGCCGATGAGCTGGGGCTTTATGATAAGCTCAAACTATTCTAAAGGCTCTAGAGCAGACAATCAAAATATTTAAAATGTTTTGTGACCCAAGAGTGGGGTTTTACTGAAGTGGATAGATCTTTCTTGAAGATTTCCCTTACCATGCGTAAATAGTAAAAATATTTGTTTAATTGAAAGAAAATCATAACAAGTAAAGAAATTTACTATAACTCTTCTCATTAATAACTATCTTTAATTTCATACATGGCCAAACAATAATAATGATTTACCAGAATTACCACCCATAAATTCCCGCTGATTTATGACCTTTAATCAGTGCCATCGAGGCTTTTCATTTTCGACTCGCACTGTACAGCCCGCAGAAGTTCGCCTCCACTCATATGTAGATACTTTACATGCTTCAAGTGGCTGAAGCAGGTTCCCCTGCTCAGCGTCCTGTTTTCGCTGCCAAAATCAGCCAACCAAGCCACTTGGCTTATCACGCACAGTGCGACCAAAGAAAACTTCGCACCCAAAGTGGTCGTTGTCCCTACCCGACCACGCCCACAGACCCTCCGCCCATTCGCCCATCCGCCCACTTGAGAAACCTACTCGGGGATGCGTGCTCATGGCATAATAATAAAATGTTGGTATTTTATATTAGCATTTAAATTGGCTTTTTGTATGCTTCGGAAATAGTTTAATATCCGTAGAGAGGACGAGTGTCTGAGTCCTGAAGTCTGCGGTTCGGCAACTTTAACTCGGAGCCAATGCGAAAAATGCATAACAAATTAGGCCGTAATTGGGGAGAGTTATGTGGCGGGTGGCGTTAAACTATCTGCAATCTGTAAAATGTCTTATCAACGATCCGCACAAACACACACACACATGCTAACCTAACCCAAGATATCCGAAGGATACAGGACAGAGTGACAGGCGTTGTCATGGTAATCAAAGGACTTTCGGGGCCCCTTTTCGATTCCTTAGCCCAAGCTAAGCTTCAAGTGGTCGTCAAAAAGTTACCATATTTGTCCTTCGACCGGCTTTTCCTTTCCTTCTGCCATCTGCCCTGGATTTTCCCCTGGCTTTGACCTTAGCTTCACGTGTCGGGAATTCGCTGTATGGTATTTGGTGCTTGGTGCTTGGTGTTCGGTGTCTTGTGTGTCTGCTCGTCTTGTGTTTCATGATTGTTTTCCCTCGATTGGTTTCGCTTTTCGATTGTCTGTTTTGCTTAGCGTCCCACAATTGATGCCCGGCCATTTGCGCCCCTGACTTTTGGCATTGGCTCTTCTGCTTTACGAGCGCTTCTCCCTCTAATGGGTCAGCTAAGCGCCTTCGTTGGTCTCTATACTCCATCCTCCATCCTCAATCCTCAATTGCCTCTATCCGATATTTCGGTATATCTGTATGTACAATGTGCATATAGTATGGGCCATGTAGAAGTGGGAGTCCTTGTGTGTGCGATGTATGCCCTATGGGGTTAATGAAGTTGTTTGTTTGTTTGTTTGCCTGTCGCCCAGGCCACAGCATCCAAGTTGACAGCCGCCACTGTCGCTTCTCCAGTCTGCGCGAAGGGGGGCTAAAAAGTTAAATATCCCCTGCAAATTATATCAAGCAGTTCATTATGCGGCCTTCCATGCGGGCAGAGTATTTAACTGTGGCAAATGTATTTAGAATCCTAGAAAATGGAAATGGTAATTGAATAATATTTTACTAAACTACAGAACTTTAACTTAAAATCTACGAAATGGTAATACATGGCCGCTTGTAATTTAATTTATCTGTTAATAGAAAAGCGTATTAAAATATTCTTATTTTGATCTCAACTTTGCTTTTTTAATGAAAATAGAATACAGAGAGAGCACATTGTTCTTGAAACAAGACTTTATGATAAGTTTAGTGGTTGAATTAAACAATGTAAGTACCGTCAATTCAACATTAAAAACATTGATCATTAAAAAAATATCGTTTAATTTCTAAGAACTTTTTCAATTCTGATAATAACATCTTTCTTTGAACTTACAAATATAAACCAGTTGAGAAATCAGAACAGCACTCTACTTGAAGTCAAAAACCAGTTGAGAAAGGCCTTTCACAACCCAATCACTTGAGGCGCGAACTAATATTACCCTGTATTTTCACTGTTCAGCCGAGTTGGCAAATATGAACGGCATTCAAACGCCCAGCCAGCCCATCGATCTCTGTCATCGCATCTTTGACTTTGGGAAGGCAATTCGACCTTTCGCCTGGCATCGACAGGTTTCCACCGGCAGGTGGAGATGGGAGTGGAGGTGCAGTTGCAAGTGTCGGCACAGGCAATTCAATTAAGTTGCAGCGTCAGTCCGGTTGGTTTTCCCCCCTTCGACCTTTTGGGCCGGTGCCATGTTTATTGTAAACGTGACTGCTGCAAGTGTCTGAAGAGCATTCTAAACGTTAACGGACAATTGACACATTTGCACTTTGGCCATTTTCCTTTGTCTTGGCAGCAGAGGGTTTTCCGCTGCACTTTTCCACTGTTTGCAGTCAGTCTTTGCTAGCATTTTCAGTTACTAAAGTGCCGCTGCCTGGGAGAGTGGCACGTGCCACGTTGCTTTCTGCCATGATTTACGCGCAATCCGTATTGTTTAATTATCGTTTAATTGTTGCAAAGTTTTTGATTTACGATTTAATTGCAATGACAAATGCAACGCCCCCGGCCAGCATCGCTGCTTCCTCTCACTCTTTTTCCCCGGGTAATGTCAGCAGCGGTGATTTATGGTCGCCGCCAACATTGATGACTATGATGGAACGTGCAGACGACTCCAGTGCATCCTCGTCATCCGAATCCTTGCAGCTGTTGCACCGGCAGCGCTGGCAGCGAGTGCTCAGTCGTCCGAAGCGCTATCTCAGCTTCCCCGAGGGCTCCTCGTTCTCCGTATGTCCTCGGTCCCCGAAATTCCTCTTTCCGAGTGTCCTTTATGTCATCCTGTTGTCCTTGATCAGGTGGCCGTCTGCTTCACCGTGGGCATCATTGGCAATCCGTATTACGGCTACAACAGTTTCGGCCTCAACTGGGGCACGGCCTACGACCTGCCCAATACCACGTGGGTCCTTCAGAACCTGCACGGATTTGCCACGCATCCTGTTGCACCGGCAGTCCTGCGTCGCAGGTCCAGGAGCGCCATCTACCGGAAGATGGAGACCATTGTCGATAAGTAAGGAGGGGTTATTAATCTCCAACTGAAACTATGTTTGTTATGACTTTAGGACAGGTTTTTTTCAGGGGTTCAAATAAATGTTGTTTTATCTACTCAACTAATCCTCAAAAATCCCCTTTCCTAAAAAAATTTTATTTCTATTTTAAAATTACAAATTATTTGCTAATCTTTATCCAGTTAAAAAAATTTTAAAATTTGTACCATTCATTAAAAAGTAACCAAAAACGTTTTGTCCGCAAGGTGTCGCTTTGCTGTTTTTTCCGCTAAACAGCTTGCATATTGCCGTCTCCCTCACACTCACTTATTTCGATTTTCCTTATAGCATGGGTTACAATGGTCGCGACTGCATCTTGAGAACCCTCTGCGAGAGTCGTCAGTACTTCCAGCGCACTAAGATGAGCATGGTGGGCGAGATGCTGCGCACAATATTCAGGTGAGCTATAAAAAAAGCCTAAAAATGATAATCATTAATTTATTTATTATTTAATTACAGCCTCCCGAAGCAGCGGATTTTCACGCGGGAACTGCACGAAAACTCTGAGATCTTCCACTACGACCAGGCCTATCGCAATGCCCACAGCGACGACTGCACCCAGTACGACTGTCACTTTTCCCTACTAGAACTGGCCTTTGGCAAATACACGACGCCACCGAAAAATTATTACGCCTAATAAATTCTCAACTACGATACTTAAAAGTGTGTGTTTCGCATCAAATTCTTTTGAAATGTCAACTCCGTTCACCTCCGTTTCACGAGGGAAACTGGCAGGGACCAAGGGGCACTTGTTGAGCCAGGTTAAAAAATGGCACTTCATATATCTTCTGGCCAGCTGCAAGTTGGCCTCCGCAATTGATGGTGTCTGTGAGCTGACTCGAGCTGACTGATGTGCAAGTCGCTCTGCTGACACCTTCTGCCCCATCATTATCGTCCTGCCACTGCTAAATTGGACCTCAATTGGAGCCAAATAAAAAGAATACTTTGTTGCTGAGTTTCGAAAACTGAAATCAATCAAGACGGCCGATGGCTTTCTATTGTCTTTGGCTATGAGTGAAAATTAAGTGACAGGCCGAAATAGCTACGACTATTGGCCGAGAACAGCAATCATTTGGGGTTTGTGGAAATATGAGCCGACATAAATTTTGATCGAAATAAAATCTGTCAAAACAATAAACAGTTGCTATGGATTGTTGATGATTTTTAGGAGAATAGTGCTGATTGGATATTGAAAATCAGATTTCTATCATTTTTGTTTAATTAGAAAATATTTACCGTTATTTAAAACAAAATAAATAGTTATTTAAGCGTTTTATTATGTTGTTTGTAGATAAATAACACAAAGAATAAAGTAAACAGTCAATAAAATTTGAATTTAAAAATATTTACTCAAGCCATAAATGGCTTCAATGACCCAAAAAAATATATTTTTATTAACAACTTCCCAGGTGTTTCTCACCTCATCCGAATGCTCCGCTGGCCCCATTTATAATGGTAAACGGGGAAATTGTGGATGTCAACAAGAGTTCCGTGCCAGAAGCAGCAGCAGAAGCAGCTGAGTGAAAGATGGAGAGAAACGTGTTAACAAGTAAATGTCATGTCCAGAACTAGAATTCCAGAGCAGGACGGTTGGCTGTTAGCTGGTGGCAATGGCCAAGACACGAGATGTCACCGAACCACACAGAGCAATAAATAAATAAGCAACGCCAGCAGTAACAACAAAGCATCAAGAACAAATTCTTTGTTTGTTTTCCTTCTCTTTTTGGCTCTCGCATATTTATGTCAGCCAGATTAAATATATCCGAGCTTATATCAGTAGCCAAGGGGAACTGGAACTGGACACACAGACAGTTCGAGGCAATTAGACCGGAAAAAAGCCATCAAGTAGTTTCGGGAAAAATCCATAGTTGAAAGTATTAATTAGTGGCACTTTTTGGAAACTCAGCAACATGACTCACCTGTCAGCGAGGACGACATTGCTGATGCTGCAGTTGGTCCAGGTGATGGTGCCCAGCATCCTGACAACCAGTTCGTCGTCCGTCACTCGGGCCATTGACAATTTCGAGGGGCTCAGCAGCCTGTCCAAACATTTTGACAGCCCCATTCCCAGTCCCCCGATTCACGACTGGGACGACGATTCCACCACACCCAACAATGCCACCAGGATTCTGCGGCGGGGCAAGCGTTATCTCCAATTCAGCAAGGGATCACGTATGTCGGTGCGTATGGCATCCAGTTTTAATTGGCTCCCAATCACAGGGCCCTCGATTTCCCCTTTCCCCGCAGTGGCGAACCAACGGCAAGAACAATCTATGGACCATCAACACGCTATGGGCCTACGGCTACGGGTTCCGCACCAACTATCCCTTCCCCTCCATCGAGGAGCAGAAAAAGGATAATGCGGTATTCTTTCGCCTCTTCAAGAGGGACCTCTTCTCAAAGCTAGAAACCGCTCTGGATGGGTAAGTTCATATGTTACAAAAAATATTATCATTATCATAAATCATTTGCTTTCGAAACCACCAATCTTACGTCCTAAATATAATCTGTGGGCTGGTCAAAATCACTCTTCTCCAAGATATTCAAACTGTTCACCCATTTCGATCCATCTATTAATAATAATAATCCTTATAGACATGGCTTCGATGGCCGGGCTTGCATGCTGAAATCATTCTGCACCGCCCTGAACGATGTGGATAACCCCAAGCAAAAGAGCGGAATGCTCTTCAAAATGCTCAAATTGATATTCAGGTAAGTCGATCATACATATACTCCATTTTCCAGCTTAAGAAGAGCAGGCTTTGTCTCTAATTAGCATTGTTCTGATAAGTAGTAAAACAAAACCAAACCAGTTTTCATTCTTCTTAAGAACCAACTTACTCTTTATGGCAGTTCTATAGATTTCCGTTAGTTGCGATCTTACATCGGTTACAATGGTCACGGTTCGGTTGGGCCTAATGCTCACTTTCCTGACCCTAGTGGCAGGCCAAAATCAAAATTCCACAATAGTTCACAGTCGGGCCAAGCGATATCTGGATATTATAGAGACCACTCGTATATTTGTGGGTAGCTTGGGGAGTCTTAACTACAAATCTATAGCTAAAACCAGCTTTTAAATCTATTGATTATTGAAAAAATTTAAAATCCCTTTAAAAAGTTTAAATAATTTAAATAAATTATTCGTTTAAGCATATTTTGGCAGTTAAGACTCTTTTACAGTTCTTAAATCCCCCATAGTTGCTTATAGCATAGTTTATATTCCCCTTTTTAAGTTCCGCGTTAATGCCAAGAACAATGTGATCAAATCGCCGATTGTGTGGGCCCATGGCTATGGCTTTCGAGCCAATACCCCCGTGTTGGTAAAGAGGGAGAACCGACCCTTTCGCAGGGACACCTACGAGTTGCTCCACGAGCTGATAGATCGAAGTGGCCTAGATGGGCGAGCGTGTGTCTTAAAGGCCTATTGCACCGCCCTGGCCGGCGATCATGGTCAGGGATTTCTGTTTAAGCTATTGAAATACGTGTTTACGTAAGTGCTTTGGGTACTCAATATTAATTATCCCGCGCATACACTATTTTTTTTGCAGCCTGGATGAGCACGACAAGCGACATATGCCGCATCTGCGGGAGGAGAACTGCGAACAAATCATGCACAGCCATTGTCCCTTGAGTTTCGACAGCATATCACCATATACGGACGACGTTTGATAACGTGTATAATGTACTTTTATTTGTTGCATTTAATTAAAAGTAAAATAATTCTTTAATTTAAATTTACAATGATTTTATTTTGATACAACAAGAAGTTTGCAGAATATAAACTAATATTTCAATTCCAGTAACGACAGATCTGCACAGAAAAACACAACAGCACAGTTGTGTTATTCTTAGCTATGCAAAATAAACAAACCCGAGATTGAATTGGACATCAAAATACAAATATATACACAAGCCTGTCGGTCTGATTGCCTAAAATAATATTACTCATAGTAATAAAGGCACTTCAAAGTGATTGAAGTTTTCCCCAGGGGCATTAAAAGTTCGCTCTGAAGCACAATGACACTTAATACATTGGTTAATTCAGCAGGTTTTTAATACAAATTAAAAACTTTATTTCTGCACAAGAGATTTGGGTTTCATTTGCGATGTTATAGTGAAATACCCTTGAATTTTTAATTTGAATTTGGTTCTAACCGAACCCCAAAAAAGTGAAGGTAATTTTCTAATCAAAAATTAAATATATCTTTAAATATAATGCACTGTTTTTAGCAGATAAATCAAAATTCTTTGGTACTTATTATAAGCATTGTGGAACTTAAATAATTAAATTAGATGTATTTTTTTGATATTTCTTCAAAAACTAATTTTACAAAAATTATTTCTTAAAACAATACAGAAGTTTGGGTAGCAAATAGTCGCCACCTTCTAGAAGTTACTGATTTTTTCCCCCCAGAAAACTCACAGTAAGTGTTTGTGGCTGCTGATGATATTTATTCGCTGTTGTTGCCATTTGTAATTTATAATTAACTTGTGTGCCATTTGCAGGTTTTGGACGAGTGTTTCTGTTTTTCCAGCAGCCGCTGATTGTGCGTGTGGCAATCAGCGACGTGCATTTAATTGGCATTTTTATTAAACAGCTGAAAGTGAGCAGCAGCAGAGGCAGCATACCTACTGGAAAAAAGGCCAAAAGGATGCCAGCGAAATAATAGCAAGGACTCGGTGGCCATTGTTGACCTCGTTGGATGACAAAAGTGTTCCAGCTGTTTAATGTCACCACCAGCACGAAAATGCCGAGTGGTGTTAAAATGTTTGCGGCAGCCTTTGATGCACTTGTCACGCCCACCGCCCCCAGCCCCCCGAGGAAAACCTGTCGCCCACCGCAGCGGCATTAAAAATTAACTTTAATTAAGTTGAAAAACATAAATAACATGCTCGCGTACAAGGGCATTAAATTGCAGTTGTGGGAGCTCTCAAGTCTCTAGTTCTTCGCCACAAGGATGCAGGAAAAATAGTCGGGGTAAAATAGGTAACAGGAGCTGGAGGAGTGCTATTACTCCCCATTTGGACATTGCACTATGGTCCGAGCGGCCGATTTTTTGGCATAAAGTCGAAATTTTTATGTTAATGTTTTGTATTTTTTATTTTAAATTCTTAAAGTTAATAGATCATACATATACAAACTTAAAAAAAAAAGCGTTAAAAGCTACACTAACGCTTTTTATGAGCTTTCAAAAGTACACAATCGATCAGCTGCTTAGGACTAAGAAATTGGCGCCATAATATTTTCTTTACGTTTGTGCAAAAAAAAAAAACTTCTTTGTCCCGACTAAATTAAGTAAATTATGGAAATGAAAGATCAAGCTATGTAATATTTAGTGTGTATAGTACATTTATGTGTAATCTTAGTGTTCGACCTGTGTTTAATTTCCAATTTATGTGTATTTTTATAGAAAATTAAAATTTGTTCCCTGTATTTAGTGGGATAAAACTAACGACCCGACGTCTGCCCACAAAAACTAAGTACGCCAATTTGTACATATACATGCCGTTTTTCAGCGCTAATAAACACCTTTTCCCCGTTCGTCCCCCTTTTCACGCAATTCCACACTATTCAGGGACCTTAAAGTTTCTTCGCAGCGATCTCTAGGATATTTGGCGCAGCAACAAGCGAAAATTTAATTTTTTTCGGATTGCATTTCTGTAAAAATTATCAATTACCACTTAAAAGATGATAAAACATCAAAAATAAATTTAAAAAAGTAGTTATTTTCAATTTTTCTTTGTTAAGCATTCGTAAGAGAAAGAAAAGGAAATGTCTCCCTTTGCTTATAATTCCGTTTAAAAGAATTACAAAAATTATTGTGAGTGTGAGGTTTGAAAGATACAGAGTTGCACTTTTAAAATGTTTTGAGTTACATTACATACGAAGAATCCGTTCGTCTGCAAAATAGGTTCAAAGTTTGCCAAAAACAGATTTTTTCCAACTTTAATATCCTTTTTTTTAGAATCCTTGGGTGTGAAAATTTTTTCGAGAGCACATTTTGAGCGCGATTATCTCAAGCAAATAGGACTTTTAAGATTTCATCGAGGTATTTAAAAAAAGGTTAAATTTTATAACACAGTGTAGTATTATGAATTTGCTTGTATGGGAGGCAAAAGAGGGGGTGGTCGCACAGACTCAAAAATTTGTTTGCATACTATTCTTTGTAAAAAAACAGAATGTGTAAAGTTTGAAGTCTGTGACTCAATTTTTAGAGTTTATGCCAAAAAAATTGACTTTTGGACCATAGTGCATTGACCGCAAAACTTTAAGCACTTATTGGGCCACAACGTTGTGCGAGTTATATCCAAAAAAAAAGGGTAAGAAAAGGGTAAGAATTCCCACATACATAGTTAAATGCACACGCAGCAACGAGCTCGTGTCTCGGCCTTAATCAAGTATTAATTATCTTGGCGTGCGTTGAATTGCAGCATTAAGAGGTCAACTCCTCTGCTCCCAAACCTCATCAACTGACCTTACTTTACTTTACTCGCATGCACATTACCTTTTCTCGTTGTTTTTTAAAAGATTTAAAAAAGGTATATTGATTTCGGTCAAAATAAGGAGCTCCTAACGAATGATACCGAAAATCAATATATTTGTATTTCTTCTGCAACGGAACAAACAAAAATACTACCTACATAGTATAAAGTATTTTCAGAACTTAATAAATAAAAAAATATATTTTTTTTAAATATACCTGGAATACTGGGTACTATTTGTACCTTAGACTGAATTTCAAGCTGCACATTTCACTTGTTACTTTTGCTGACAGCACAAACGTAAATGTCATTTTGTTGTTGCTTCTGCTGGTTGCAGTTTAATTTTCTCATTTGCTGTTAATGTTTGCATTTTTCTCGTTTTCTTTCACATTTTTCCGAGTTTGTGTGAAGTGTATTTTCGCAATTACAATTAATTTTAAAATACCCTGGAAATGTGCAGAATTCCCATGGCAAGTGACAATTAATGGGGTGGAGGTAAAATAGTAATATATAATACGTTAGGGACAACTGTACAAGCGATTATTAAGATAATTAAAATTCCAAGTTTTTAAAGGACTTTTTTAGCTTTCAAGAAAACCACAGAGGTAAAAAGTTAATTGTAAATTTATTGAGTAGAATTTTACTTTATTTCTTATCTGACTTCAATAAGTACAATTGAACCAATAAAAATAAATTAAAAATTTAAAGTGGTCTCAATACAAAATTTTAGCTGGCACTTTGAATTTTATTTATTTCATCTTAATCTGCCAATTATTCCATTCATTTTTACACAATTTTTGACCTCTTTAGCTGTATTGTAAGCACTTGCCAAATGAATAAATGTCAATAAATTGTTGAAAAGGTAAAAGCGTTTCAGTGTTTGCGAAAAATACAAAATGATAATAGCTGGGATATCACTAATAGCAAATAAATATTTTAACTGCCAGCTGGTTGTCAGCATGGAAGCCATTTTAATCACTTAGGAAAGTAGGCAATTTACAGTAGGCAGCCGTTCGCCATCTAAAATTAATATTACCAGACAGGTGTGGTAAGTTATTTGGCCTCCGCCCCGATTTTCCGATTTCCAGAATGATGGTATGGGATTGGCCCTGCAAACAATATGGACGAGATTAGCGCACACCTCGGGTAATTTATTGGCCGTCAAGGACCTACGAAATGCGCAACTAGCAACTGGCAACTGGCTCATTATGCATGCGAAAAGGGCCGAAACCAAAAGGGGAAAGGGGGCTGGAAAACACCATCATCCTGGCTGCATTTCCATTCATCTGTATTCCACACTCATTCATTCATTAATCGGACTGAGGTGGAGTGACTGGCATGCAAATTGATTTGATGCGTTGTCAATTAAAATGTGCAATTAATTTCATTTGGTTTGCCTCACATTATCGAATGTGTAATTGGATGGGGCGATGGGCGATTGGCGATGGGCTTTGATATTGCCTGATGGGATTGGCGGGGGGGATTAGAGATAGAGATAGGGAATATAGACCCTGACAGCGGCTGCTAATGAGCTCAGTTAGCCAATTCAGTTTGTGGCCAGGATCGCGTGTGCGTATATGTGTGTGCGTGGGCCCATCTCAGTCGCTGTGTGTCTAAATTAAACCGTCTATGATATGGCAGAGAGCATGGCGTATACGCAATTAGTTAGTCAAACGCTGATTGCCGCACTTTAGACAATGCTACTCAAACGAATAGTGACCTAACTTTAAGCCCTTAGATTGAAGTTAAACCTCACCAATTTTTAAAAATGTTAATAAACTCTAAGTTGAACTTAAAAACTTTTAAAAAATATTAATATAATCCCTCACTTTGTAATTAAATTATACACCTCTTTGAACATATTACTATAATTCCTCAGCTTGAAGTTGAACTTAAGAACTCTTAAGAATATTAATATAATGTCTCAGTTTAAAGTTAAATCAAAAACTCTTAAAAAAAATAAAAAAAAATAATATAATTTTTAATTTCACTTGAATGTAATGATATCTGAAGCACCGTTCTTTATTAGTGCACCTTAGTAAACAAATATCTTGAAATATATCTTAAATTTGTTTGCTATTCCTGGTACTACCCACTTGACTGGCATTATGAAAACCAATATGCCTAGGCGTAATTTTAAAATCCTAAGACTCTCGACATCAGCGATTCGGTCTCGTTTGCCTCTTTCGCCGTCTCCCCAAATTAGTTCAAGGATTAGTGCAATAAAACTAACGTGCCATGGATTTGCGCAGCCCTTTTGTTGACTTAGGGGAACTGGGGGGCGGTGGTCTAGGGAAGGGGGAAGGGGAAACGTGGGCATGTCACAATTTCCCAATTAGCTACTCATTGAGATAAATTTCTTATGCAAATGATGACAAGGCCAAGTAAGGCGATCCGTGGAGAGGGAAAAGCGGGGAAGAAGGGGTGTGGACAGGCGGCGCTGGAGTGGCATTGGCATCCAAAATCCCCCGAAAACCCCTCTATCCCCTCTATCTGCTAACTGAGCTGGCTGGCTGGGGAGTTTGGGACTTTGAGTTGGGGCAACTACGCCGGTGGACAGCGGCAGAGTGACATTGACTGACTCGCGATGACGAAGACGCAGCAGCAGCGGCAGCAGCGGCACATCCTTTGGCTCACTCTTCCTAATTGGCTGCTGACATTTGCCAGCAGAAACAACTGAAACACCAGAAACAGCAGCGGAAATTACAGAAAAAGAGCTACAGAAACACCAGCGCGAAGCTGAGTAAATTTGACATAATTAAAATACTGAATCCCAGCTAAGAGACGACACGACACGAATTTCCAGACAGACAGCTCGAAAAGTTTTTGGAAAAAGAAATAAAAAATAAAAGGTGTAGCGCGCGCATTTTGCTAATTTCTTTTGAGTGATTAACCCAAGGTGCTAATTACATTTGCCAACTGTCCCATATTTCGTACAGAAATTGTAGCAATCCCATGACGAAATAGGGTTCCCGTTAAGATCCACAAGTTCAATGGACTTCAACACTTAGGTGTGAAATAATTTCAGAGTCAGTGACTTTGAAACGAGAGCTGCTAAACCATAGATCATGATCTAGAACAGAATTCTCTTGAAGAAGATCATGACTTATCTTGGAACTTTCTTGAAGCAAAAAACCTGTCTCTCGGCCCGTTTTAATTTCCCCTTTAAGATCCAAGGACGTGGCTTTCTTCGAGGCACTTTTTCAGATGTCATCTGTCCCTTTGCATTTGCCGAAAATTTAATTATAACTTGAATTTGCTTAAGGCTCTACCTCGCATACAAATGCAAACTTGTTTTGTTTGGTATCTGGGTGCGATAAAATTCACTCGAGAGCAGAGCAGCGTCGTCTAGAACTTTGTTTGGTGTCCCAAAGGGGAGGAAACGTAGGACGTGGCGCAAACAAATGCAAATTGCTCATACGCCGTGTGGACCAGCAGCTAACCGAAAACCGAATGCTGGAAAGCCGAAAAGGAGGGCGAACAAACGACACGGGGAGCAGAAATGGCGCTTATTAAAGTTTGACTTGTACTTTTGCATATTTTTTTATCATTATTCTATTCGACTGGCTGGATGGGGGTGTGCATTGGGGCAAAGTAAAAGTTTCGGATAACAAAAATTAAGCATTGCCTTTTGCGTTCCATGATAATTGCGAACAATAGAGGCAAAAACAGGGGGAGGGGGAAGATTTAGGGACGGGAGGAAGGGTGTAACCATGTTAATGCTTCCGCATTTGCGTTCAGCTGCAACATTGCACCACTGCTCGAGCATGTGAATGTGCGTGAGTGCACTGTGAAAAATTTAGAAGCTTTATTGGATTTATTATAAATATTAAACGTTGAAAGCCAAGATAAATCTTTAAAAATAGTCAAGCACTCCGGCTATCAGATACCCGTTACTAAGCTAAAGGGAGATGAGTTTTGAATGCACTGCTTGCACTGCTTACACTGTCTGCACTCCATTATTTGCTCATAACTTTTTAATGAATGGTCCGATTTAAACTTTTCTTCTACATTTTGATAGGTTTTAAAAAACACAACAAAATGGCATTTAAGCTTTTACAAAATCTGTAAATTTAATATTTTAATCCCTCTTTTTCCCCGTGCATGTCCATATAAGTGTGTGTCCTGTACACATGCACAAGTTTGTGTGCCAGCGACATTCACGCCTCGCTGCACTTTTTACATGCTGCATGTTGCCTGCGGGCATTAAGTGTGATTTTATGCGATTTGTACCAGGCAAACACCCGTTCAACACCGCCCCCTAAGCCGCCCACTTCCTACCGCCCCTCCTTTTCCCTCTCAGTCGACGTCACTAGTAAAAGAAAAAACCGCAGCAGCAGTAGAGGCAATGCTAGAACCTTTCCCCCGCACTTCTTTGCTAATTTACATTTGACAAATGTTTTGCATGGTGCAGAATTTTTGCCACTGCTGCTACGACTACCACGACGACTGCTGTTCGTTAGTACGAGTGCCCCCTGTACCCCCTGCACCACCGCCCTTGCCCCTTGGTGTTTTGCTAGCTGCATTTGTTTTCATTTGGTTTCTCTGCTGACATTGTTTACAGTTCAACTTGGTTGGAAATTAGTAAAAATCTCACACGAGCACCAGCCACAGGAATAAAAAAGCGAGACAATAAAAATACCAGCAGCGAGGAATCGAAAAGACTAAAAAGTCAAGGAGCACAGGGGAAATTGCCAAGGAAAAACTAACTTGAATTGATGCTGCTTAACATTGATTGCAGTCACGAAAATAAAGCTTTAATCTTTATAATAATAGTTTGTCCCAAGATATTTTTTTTACCAATTTAATTAGATGGATATCTTGGCCATTTTAATGAGTTTGTTCCACATCTTTTTACTGCAGTCACTGTAGGTTTTCCAACAATTGGCACCGGCTTTTCCGGCATTCCTGGCAAGCAGATACTTTTCAGGAACATTATCCAAAGATGGCCTGTGAAATCGTTAGAGATAGGAAATGTCCTGTTAACCCAGAAAATAAAGGAAAACTTACACCAGTACTGTATTCAAAATTTCGCCGAAAATACTGCTGTGCACAAAGGGTCGCTGGGATATCTCACAGATACTTTTGAGCAGACAGGCACCTGCATTCCGATCTCCAAACCTGTAATGAGAATACTTTGGCGAAAGACGTTGACAGATGACTACCCAAATACTAACCGCTCCAGGCCCATTTCCATGACATCGTACAGCCAAATTCGAGTCTCGTCCTGGAACAACCCACTCTGGACACTTTTCCGCCAATCCCGGGCGGTGGTCACAAAGGACGAGGTGTTCCAGAAGCTCCACCAGTAAATCGGTATGGGCGATGGCACGTATTGCGCCTGGTAGTTGACGAATCCCCAGACCGATTGCACTACATCCTCCTGTTTGATGGGAAACGCCAGGCCAGTGACAATCTGAGGAGGGGGATGGAGAACAATTAGGAGTCGGAATGCCAAAGTCGGATCGATATCAACAACGATGGTCAACCTTGTTTGTGCCCGAGCCATTGAAAATGGCCAGGCGTTTGGAGCGACTGAGGCTTAGACCACGGGTGGAATTCCCATCTCCAGCAGCACTGGCCAAAAGGACCAAGTGGAGCAGGGAAATAGCGGCGACGGCGGAAGGATTCAGGTCCAACTGTTTGCCGCTGGAGTGCATGGTCAACTAATTTTGCAGCCGGTGCAACTTGCGGCAGCAATGGGAAACTCAGTTCTTAGTTTGCCCAAGAAATTGACAGACGGAGAATTCGCAAACTTAACAAGAAAACTACTATTCTGCACTGCAAGTAAAAGTGTGAGGTTGGGCAAGGAATTTTAAAGGACTTTTAAATAGAAATTAACTAAACTAAATATCTTGAAAAACTTTTTTTTTATTTTAAAGGACTTTTAAATAGAAATTAACTAAACTAAATATCTTGAAAAACTTTTTTTAACAAAAATAATTATGTTATAAATGTAGGGGCTGTTTTGTAGGATAAATTTGTTGTTGCTTCCTTTTTGAATACCACATTTCTTTTGATTTTTTCACCGGAGTAGAAATTAGAGTGATAAATTATTATAATTGTAGCATTATTCAACAGAACTGATAAAAATAATAAGTTTGCATGCCATTTCCAAATAAAATATAATTAAAGTCGGTCTTAAACATAACCGCAATAATTGCTGCAACCACATTATGAATATTTAATCACAAACATAAAGGCCTATTTATTCTCTAAAATTAATGAGCAAAATCGATGCTAAACAATAAAAACCGCAACTGAAGCTCTTCAGTGGCCACTCCAATGCATTGCGGCAGCTCTCAGGAGCAGTTAAGGAACATGGTTTCGATTGGAAAGGCCACCTCCTCCTTCTCCACCTCCTGCATTTCTCCTTCGTGGCCAGAATGGCATTGTGCGTAGGCCAGAATTCAATCGCCTCTGGCGGGGACTTAACATCGGATATCCAACCTCTGTCCCAGCAGTGCGAATCCTCTGTTGCCACCTGGTTTTGCCTGAAAGCCCCGCGGCACTTTGACTGCCATTTTGGGTGTCGCCTCTCCCACAGAAGATCCTCCCTTGCAGCGGTGTTTCTGGCGGTCCCTTTGTTCTGCCCACCAGCTGTAAATTGATTGCTGTCACCAATGGAAGCCCCACAGAAAGGTGTCGCCAATACAATGTGAGTTGAAGCAATTGGGAGTAAAATTAAACACAGAAAAATATTTATAAATATTTAAAACTAAGGACAGAAGATAACATAATAACTATTTTTTAGTATTTAAAAAAAACGGGTACTAAAATATTTAAAATCCAAGAGCTAGCAAAAATAAATATAGAAAATTAAAAAGGAAACCATTATAAATATTGTTTAATCTTCTGAAAGCAAACAAATTCTAATAAATTAAATCCCATTTAAATAAATAGTGAGCTCCTGGCAATAAAGAATTCTCATACATTTCCATAAAAATTAACAACTATTTAATCTGAAAATTAAAAAGCACTCCATCAAAGCGAAAATTACCAAATGTTAAAAATCGCTTAATCCTTGTGAAACCCGTAGTGATTAAAATATTTTCAATATTAACCACCTCTACATGAGCTACTGTTTTAAGCCCGGGTTTGTCGCGTTGAAGATTATTTATTGCGGTTGCTAACAGGCGAGCTGTCGGCACTGGCGACGTGAATCAACCACCAATCGCTATCCAAATACAGTAATTAAACAATCTGTTATCGGGCAGTTTGACAGTGTAGCGAAATGGCCGAGCAATTATTGGGAAGGGTAAGTGAAAAATCGACAAATAAGTATTTCAGCTGCAGGCATTTCGGATATGGGATATGTACTACCATGCGATATGCAACATCGGGGCAAAGCAGCCTAGTATTTAGCACCTTTTTAAGAGCACTTGAACTGACACAGAATCGAGTTAACGACACTCAATTGGGTGCTAATTGTACAATTAAACTTTGCCGCTCCGAAACGAGACGAAACGGGAAACCCAAATAGATGCTCGGATTGCGGGGCATCAGTTCGTTTCGGACAGCTAATGGCATCAACATATCGTAAAGTAAAAAGTCCCCATCGAGACCCCGATTCGCCTCTAATGGTAATTATCTGCTTCATAAATTCGCTCGCAATTCCGCCGTCGGCCTCTCGAAATGGCAGTGTTTTAATTGCAAAGCCCGATCGGGGGACTGACCATCGAAAAAGCGGTCCATCGAACCATCTCTCGCGCATCGAATGTTGTCGAATGTCGAAAATTGCATTAATTTAACGCATGATTGGCAGTGCCGGCAAATGGCAAATGGAAGCGTCACAGCTAAAGTGAAATTATGCAAATTTCGTCGCTGCCTTTTTTGCGATGTGAGTGCCCAGGCACGGAGCAATCGGAATGTTCGATTGCTCAATTACACTCACGAACAAAAAGGTGAACTCCTCTTTTGAGTGTCTGAAAAAACAGAATTTAATTAGTGATTGATACTCAAAAGTATGGACACTGGTCGCAATACAAAAAAGAACTTTAGAACAGTTGGTTTTAAAACTATTTCAAAGAAAACAAATAAGATAAATAAACTTATAAATCCATTAAAAATACCAAAGTTTAAGAAAAATTATTAAAACATAAAAATAGTACAAAATATTTCTTAATATTATTTAAAATTATTTTCTATTAAGCTTTTCGGCCGTTTTCTCAACCGTTTGTTAAATTTAAAGTGAGGTTAGGTAGGGTTATAGCTTCCGTTAAAATTAACAAACAGTCAAGAAATCGACCCAAAAAGTTTTAAAGGAAATAATTTTAAATATTTTTTCCTTTTGAAAAAATAGCTATTTAATTACCATATATATTTTAGCTGATCTCAATTATTAAATTTCTTACATTAGAACTCCTTCCCAGCTGATAAGTGTTGACCAAGTGACTTGTGCTGTTTTCCATTAAGGAAAAATGGGAAAAACAATCAAAGTAATTGGATGTGCTGGAGCCGGCACTCTGCTTATATTGCTGCTGCCTCTTTGCCTGATCCAAAATTACGGTCCGCCAGGCGGTAATGTGTCCCACTCAATGGTCACTGCTCCTCCTGGTCTTCCTCCTCCTCCTGCTCCTGCCTCTCCTATTTATGACCCTGTGGAAACTGGGAAAGATGCCATGCTGCGACTGCACCGACAGAAACGCTACCTGCTCTTCCCGGAGGGCTCCTCCTTCCAGCTGGTCTTCGACATCATCATACCCATCATAGACTACACCAACTATGCCATCCTGGGCATCACCTGCTCGGTGGCCTGGGAGCTGCCCAGTAAGCCGCCCAGCGAGCTGATTGAAAACGTGCTCACGCGCATCAACGACGGCACCATCGGCACTGTCCGCCGGAACGGCAGCGTCCCTGAACCCGTTCCCGTTCCCGCTCCCGATTCGAATCCGGAGTTGGACTCGTCCCATTCCCAGAATCTCGATCTGGACAATCGAGGAGCCACAGCCAGTGCTAATTGGCAGGCAGTGCACGCACCGCCAGCGAATCCACCGGCATATGCGGCCAATGAGCAGCTGGACTCAAACTCCAACTCCCACTCGTCGTACTACACGAATATCCAGAATATCCAAAGCATCCCGGCCGCTTACCCATATGCAAATGCGAATGCGGATGCAAATGCAAATGGACAGCAGCGCCAGGCGCTATTTCCCGCTAATTGGCATGCGCGACAGTCGGTCGCAAAGTGGCAGCAGAGGGGGCAGGGGGTGGGGCAGGGAGGAGCAGTGGGGTCAGGAGCGGGAAGGGACAACTGGTGGACGAGGAACGGGCATCGGGTGCAACAGAACTGGCAGGAGAAGCAGCGCATGTGGGGCCCTTCCAAGTGGGAGTAAGTGAACTTCACATATAATAACTAACATCTTTAATTTACAAATTTCTTTAAAACAAAAATGCAATGAATAAGAAATTGTTTATTAAATCATTTTGTATATCCCTGAAATACTTTTAATATTCGAAATACAAAAGTCAATTTTACAAAAATAAATGTTATAAATTGCAAATATTTAGTAAACAATTATTTTGAATTTATAAAATAATGGCTCTAAGGAATAACTTTTTAAATAAATAATTATATTAAATCGCTGGAATAAAAATTAATGGCTTTAAGGAAGTTATTTTCAAAAAATTTATTATAATAAATTAATAAAATAAATTTAAAAAAAAGTGTTAAGAAACTTTTAGAGAGTTTAAAATAATTTAGCTTTTAAAAAAATTTATTATGCTTATGGAATTCTTTTAAAATTTAATTTCCAAAATAAAGAAATGATCTTTGTAAAATAAATCTTAGAAAATCGTTAAAATTCAAATGACCAATTTAATAAATTGATTATTTATTTTACAAAAAACTTCCTTAAAATTAAAAAAAAATCTTTTTAACTATTTCGCAGCACTAACTACAGTCAGCGACCGCGACAGGTGCTGCGAGCACCGCCCAAACATCATATATATCCTGTTTTTGCGAGGCGCCGGAGACGAAGAAGTGCGGAGCAGGATTCCCATTTCGAGCGACTCCACCTGCAGCAGCATCTCAGCTCGAGGCAGCTGCTCTTTGGCAAAATCGAACGCCTTTACAAGTCGTGAGTTCGAGACCCACAACAATTCCTAATTTCTTCAGTGGTACAATAAATCCGCAATTCCCCAGGCGACGACTGAATGGCACCTCCTGTGTGCAGCGAGCTCTCTGCGAATCCGCCCAAAGGCAGCAGCAGCAGCAGCGGCTTCAAGGAACCAATTCGGCCAGGCCACAAAGCTTTATAATGGAACTACTCTCGGCCATTTTCCAACTGCCCCAAAGCGATGACGTCGAGGAGCCAGGGGAATTGGAGCTAATGATTTCCCCCCATTATCTGGAGGCCCATCGACAACAGGGCGACTGTCGGCAGCTCTACGGCGATTGCAATCACACATTCTGGTTGGATTGAATGGCAAAGGCAAACAATAAATACTAGGAAACTAAATAACATAGAGTTTTATTAACATTTGTTCAGGAAAAATCAAAGATTAAATGGTATCTTTCTTCTTTTTTAATCCTAATCATACACCCCCTTTAAACGAACCCTAATAGTTCTTCCCATTGACAACTAACCCAAACAAGCTAGTCGGATATTGTGAAAGAAAGATTGTGCAAAAGTCATTTGGAAGTTTCTTCGCTTGCTGAAAAGCTGAAAGCATTCCTCGAGCATTTAAGTTTATCCCCGGAAAAACTGAGACTAGTGATCACATTACTTCAACTTGAACTCCCTCAGCACTATCGGGGAATCGGAATTGGAACTGGAATTGGAGGAAGATGGTAGATGGAAGTGTGCTACTTTCGAGATGCCAACGAATAAACCAAAAGAAGGGAGCAAAAGTTGGGAGCGTGAAAAAGTAATTTGAACCTTTAAATAGACCAATGAGCTCACGGAGCAAAGGCAAAGGAAAAAGCAGAAGCAAAAGACGCTCTACAAGACAAACTACTTGCCAAAACACAAAAGACGAAAAGTGTGAAAACTAATGAAAGACAAAAGGAGAGCGAAAGAAATTTTAAACTGGAAACTTTCTTTCTGAATGGTAAGAGAAGGGAGGGGAAAGCGGAGGGCCCCACTTACAATTAACGGCCAAGTTGCAGAACGCTTCTGCTTCTGTTTGGGCCAGAGCATCGCGATACTTGGCCGACAGTTGCCGTATGGACCGCAAGTTGGGAAAATGTCGACGCGGAAAAAGAGGGCATCCATCGCTGGCAGTAAGGAGGAAAATTCCCCAATAGGTAATTGCTGGCTGCTAGTACTCCTTCTGGCCAACTTGGTTAACTTGGCCGAAGCTCTGAAGGCCGGGGAATCCATCCAGTTGGCAACGGGCAGCCCGTCACTGGGCATAAACAATGCGGACAGCAGCCTGGAGCAGCTCATCGAGATGCGGCTGAATGAGTCGGCCAACCCATCCGTCCAGAGCAGCCAGTCGCAGGAGCTGTTGTCCCGGAAACGACGCTATTTGGTATTTCCGGAGGGGAGCTCCTTTCAGATGGGTAAGTCACAGGACAGTGGTGTAGCTAGATGGAATTTCAGGGGGTTTTTTTAGTGGGAACTCATATTTTACACACACTAAGAAATAATCAAAAATCTTGAATTAAGAGCAAATGTACTTGAAATAAGAGAAAATGCTCTTGAATTGAGAGCAAATGCTCTTGAATTGGGAAGAAATGTTCTTGAATTGAGTTCTTAAATGGAGTTTATTTCAACTTAAAAATGTCGTTTTATTTTTAAGAATATTTTAAACCCATAAAGACATCAGAATGCTCTCTGCGCAGTACTTTTGTAAATCATTGTTATCTTTTTAAGAAGTGGGGTAAAGTTCCATTTCCTCTACGCCACTGCCCTAATTCATGCAAATCACACGCCTCAATTACCTCCGCCTCCCCATCCGTTTAGTGTACGATGAAATTGTGGGAGTGGTGGACCATACGAACTACTTGATTCTGGGCATTACGGTGGCTCTGGCCTGGGAGCTGCCCAGCAAGCCGCCCAGCGAGGAACTCGACGATCTGCTGACCAAGTTGGAGGACGGAACCATAGACATCAGTCGCAATGACACCGTGTCGAATATAACCTATGTGGATGATGCCTCATCCTCATCCACCACTGCCAAGCCCCCGGACTACAAGCCAAACTACATCAACTTGTCGAGTTACGGCGGCGGCTCTTCGAGTGGCAGCAACTCCTACTACAGCTCCTCCCCGACTGTCTTCCGCACTCCGATGCATCCGTCGCATCAATATGCCGACAGCTATTACTCCCGTTACAAGGGGGGCAGGCGCAAGGACAACCACTACTACTACAGCCGCCCGGGGGGCAGTTCCAGCAATCCGTTCGCCAAGTGGGCGCGGCCCTACACTCCTGCCCAGAACTCACGCTATCCCTATTGGGCACTCAACTCAAGGTAAGCTAAGAAAATATTATATAAAACAGAAATATTTAAATAATATTCAAAATAAATAATTTACGATTTTTAATCAATTTTTGAGACTTAAGGAAATAATCTTTATTTAAATTTAAATATCGCTTCAATATATTTCAAGTATTTTCCATTAAATTTTTCTTTTTCTTAAATAATTGATTAAACTATATGATTTTCGACCTACTTTTCAGACTCAAAGACCGCTACTACGGATACAAAAGTCAGCAGGCGGCACCACCGACGGCGCAAAGAAGACAGGACAGCAGCAGCACCACCACAACCACCACCAGTCGACCCACTCGGAGGCCGGCACCTCGTCACCATCACATATATCCGGTGTTTGGCAAGCGCAGCATTCCGGATGCAGCCAATCCGCATCAACGTCAGCGACGCAGTGGAGTGGCCACCGAGCACGAGGACAGAATGAGTCGCCTGGAGCAGCTCCAGATAAAGCACCATCGCAGGAGCCGACAGTCGTTGTATGAACGAGTGGAGAAGTATCTGGACAAGTAAGTCGGATCTCAATGGAAATGGATTCATATCTCTTTGATTTTAAATAGGATATTAAAATTATTCCTTAAAGTAGGTGATGTCACATGCCAATCTTGCATTGGGCACACGTCCATTCTTCTTTGTGTCGCTATCCGCACATTGCATTAACCCCTGCCTTAAAGTTAAATATCTTGAAGTAATTAAGTCATACATTCATTTTTGGAATGCCAACTGGGGATAATCATTAGTAATCATTAGGGAATTTCGTTGAGGAATATTTATCTCGTTAATTAGCTAACCGACTTACTCCATCCATCCACAGGCGCGGTCACCATGGCCACCACTGCGTGCTGCGCACCCTCTGCGAAACGGGCCAGAAATCGGAGGAGCAGGAGCCCGGCACCTTCGTGGGCGAACTGATGCGTGCGGTATTCACCATTCCGGAAGCCATGGACAACGAGCCGGTTGCCTATCGCGACACCCACTACGACAAGGCCCACGCCTCCAAGCAGGACTGTGCCGCCCTTTATCCGGGCTGCAAGCAGTCCATGTGGGAGGCCCAGTTCATACAATAAACACCCATTCCCCAAGTCTCTTTGAAGTTTTTTATTCAGCTCGGGTTAGTTCCACTTGCCGCCCATTAGCCAGGCCAGAATGTTCAGCTTACACGAGTCCCGAAACTGGCGATCACAATCCTCTGCATCCATGTGCATGATTCGGGAATAGTCATCCTCCACGCCAGATGCGGTGGGTAATCTAGGATTTTATAGGGGGATTTGTTAGATTAAGATATTTTGGGATCTCAAAGAAATGCTACCAATCAAATTAAAAGAAATACATTCCGAAAATATCCAATTATTTCTATTAAAAGTTAATTAACTTACGTAAAAACCAGTCTCACAATATCATGTATCATGGAATAACCTCGAGGCAGAAGTAGACGCTTACTATCACAAATGGCCCTTAAAACACAGGCCTTAGCATTGATTCCCAAACTGAAAAAAAAACACAACTGTTATAAAGAAAAAACTCCACTTTAAAAGCTCAACTAATCCTTACAGCTTACTAAACCCATCGAAATGTTCGAAGAGCTGCCTGCGATCTCGATGTCCGTTATAATGTCGCAGATCCTTGACATGCGCCAATTCTGGATAGTGAGCTGTTTCATGGGGTGCCATATCGGGATCGTAGGGATCATCGAAGGGCTGCGACCTCACATCCTCATAGGGTTCCACCTCGGGATCGTAATATTCCCCACCTGCAGATCTGTACCAACGTTTCGACCATTTTGGCGACTGCGTGGTCCATTTGCTCCATTTTCCTGGTTGGCTGTACTTCTCATAGTTGTGATTCGCTGGCGACCAGTTTTCGTATCGATTACCATATTTCGAATAGTGTGCCCACTTGGCAGGATCCACATAGGTTGGTTTTGGGGGCCTCACATCGATGCGGTGCATTGGCTTGGGTTTCTTCAGAGGCGTCGCTTTAAATCTCCAGTTAGTTCCCGGAATCCAAACGTAAGTGGGTTCCGTTGTGGTCTTTGGTTTCTCCGTAGTCGTCGTCCTCTGACGATATCTCTTCGGGTAGACATCCTCGCGTTTTGTGGGCACAGGATAATAGCAGGCCTGCTCGATATTCATGGCCACTCCTTTGGGATAGGCTGAGATGAGACCTTTACTCAGCTGCCCGGTAAACTTTAAATTCGATCCAGGTGGAAATAACACAAAGCGCTTTTGTCGCGAAAAAACCCGATCCAACACATGATCAAGCTCCGTTTGATTTGACTTTCCTTGAGCTATGGTCAATTGGATAAATCCAAAGCTTAAAAAGATCAACAGATCGAAACGCATTGCTGACAAGTACTGATTGAGATATCCAAAATGAAGACAACTAGTACCCAAGGGATTTCAATTGATTTTTTTGGAGGTGCTAATTGCACAGCCAACAATTGAAGTACTTATCTTAATAAGACTCGACTGAAATTCGTGATTAGAGGCTTAAAACTCGTATTTATTCCACTCGGCCGCTCAACAGCCAAATCAATAAATTCATATTACACTTAGTTTTTAGATCCGCTGCACAGTCATCGGGCTCTTGGTCCATTATACGACTATACTCATCTTCCAAGCCATCCAAACGGGGTATACTTTAAAAAATATTTTATATAAAAGACCCATTTCACCATAAAACCGAAGAAACTTACGTGAAAACCACACGTAGCATATCCTGAAGCATGGAATAACCAGGTGGCAGGAGTAATCTCTTGCTGTCGCAGATGGTGCGTAAAATACAAGACTTTACATCAATGCCAATCCTTTAGGAGGTATAAGGTCATTAGAAAAATTTAATAAAATAAAATTCAATAACTACCCACAGCGAACTGAGTTTGGTGAAACGATCAAACAAAGATCGGCGATCTCGATGGCCATGGTAATGATGGGAATTCCAAGCTCCACTGGGATTTCCCCGACTCCATTTAGTTTCCCACTTTGGTGAGGGCGTAGTCCATTTCGACCACTTTGCGCTGTTTTCATCGAATCCCTTCCACTTGTAACTCTGCCATTTTTGTTCCTGATTCCACTGTTGCCACTTGTACGGATTGGCATAGTTATTATCATCGATACGATGGGTCTTTGGAGGCGGTTGCCTCCATTTGGGCCTGGGCAAAGTCTGAGCCTTATAACGCCAATCGGTACCGGGTATGTAGACAATCGAATCGGGAAGCTTTTCCGGTTTCTTGGTCGTGGTCTTGGGTAAAAACCTCTTGGGGTATATATCCTCCACAGCTCCAGGCACCGGAAAGTAGACAGCTTCCTCCAAGACGAAGTTTATACCTTTTGGATAGGTGGCCAGCAAACCTGTGGCAAAGGAGCAGGTGAATTTAACAAAGGAACCCGGCGGAAACAAGACCGCTCTTCTCCTTCGACTAAAAACTCGAGGCACTACATCTTTAAGCTGGGATTTATTGGATCTGCCGATATCTTCTCCCAAATTTGACCCAAAAGCGGCATACAGCAGCAACAAGATAAAGAGCTTGGCTCGTAGCATCTTAAGCAACTGAAAGGCGTAAATTATTGGAGTTCCATTCGAGAGGCCAGTTATTCTGGCAGCCGTGCTAACCGATTGCCCAAATATTTAACCACATCTGATTGATGTCTTGATATATATTTACGGAGCTCATGTATCCATTAACCCATCGACCCAATTTGACCAGCAATTGTGGGAGTTGTCTGTTTGTAGATTGATCAGTTCCGTATCAAGATTCAAGCAGAACAGTTCTCAAAATGAAACTAGGTTGGTTGACCACGGGTATCTTAATTATTTTCCTTAACAGACAATCGGAATCTCTGCTATGGCCAGCCTCTTCTAATTTGGGTGTAAGTAAAGGTTACTTATTACTAAAAGTTATGTACTAACTGATACCCCTTAGTTGACCCTCTCGGTTTCCACTCCCATTGCTGAACTGTTTCCCGAGCGTCGTATTCTAATCGATTGGTGCTTCGCCATCTCCTACAATTATCCGTACAACCTAAGTGAGTTCTATAGCATTCCCATCTGGCCGGGATTCGCCAACTATAAAGCGAAACGACAAGTTCCTCAATTGGAACTCACGGATGAGAACTTCTATACCAAATACGGTCACACTGGAGGGAATGGTATTCACCCCAAGGACTTTTCGGCTGGGGAACTTTATGCCTTCCTGGAGGATACCTTATCGGGATATGGTTTCCATGAGACCTGTTTGCTAAGAAGTGTCTGTGAATTGGCCCAACATCCCTTCGATGACAACCATCAGCACTTGTTAAGCGATATTGTAACTTTTGTGCTAAGGTAATTATTATATATTTTTTATGGATATTATATAGACGTGCTTATATAACCTTTATTTTCTAGTCCCTCACAACACGAAGGTTTCCGGGATGACGAACATGTGTACAGAAATGCCTACGAACTGGCCGAACAAGATGGTTTTTTGGGTCGGGATTGTCTGAGATTGTATTCCCATTGCAAGCACGATATCTTAAAGCTAATGAGTCAAGTCATATTTCACTAGAACCAATAAAACCCGTGGACGTAGTAGGCCTACATATGTTGATTGCAATGTCTGTGCGTTTCATTAGCAGCTGCTGGGAGTCTCTAATTAACGCAGTGCGTTGGGTTGCCATAGAAATCCAGAAATTGAGTATCTGTCACACCAGAATGAATCTCCAAGGCGTCCACTTCATTGGAGTTCTGCTGTCGCTGTGGAGCCTTCCCATTGGGGCCGAGTTCCCTCTGCTCTTTCCGGCATCCTCCGTTTACCAGATAACCTCCTCACTTTCGGTGCCAGTGGTCATTCCGGATCGCAAACTATTTTGGGACTGGGGCCTCCAGATGAACTATGCTTTGCCCGCTCAACCCTCCTCCTTCTACGCGGCCACCATTTGGCCAGATGAGTTCTCCAGGCGGGGAAAGCGTCACTTAAGGAATGAGACCGCAAAGTATCTGAAAGGAGGTGATTCTACCATCCATCCCAGTGACCTTACGGCCGGCGAGCTGTACGAGAGTCTGGAGAACATGCTCATCCGCTATGGTTTCGATGAGTCCTGTCTTCTGCGCAGTGTTTGCGAACTGGCCCGACATCCTTTCAAAGATATAGAAAACAACATGCTCACCGCTCTGATGACTTTTACACTGACGTAAGTAGAGATTATAATGTTCATCGAATGTACTAAGAAATTCATGTAAAAATAACTAATAAGGTTCTCTAAAACGATTTTTTTCAATTATAAAACTTTCGATTGTTTATACATTTTCGTTTTCCATTAGTAATTTAATCGACCTATGTTTACTATTGAGCACTTTATCGGGACTCGAGGTTATTTTTAGTTGGTTATTTTTATATTTTTAATTTCCGCGATAATTTGATATTAATTTTTTTTACTTTAAAAAGAAATCCAATTAAAATTTTAAATTTCCTTGCAGCCCCTCTTTGCACGAGGCTTTTGCCCCCGGGGAAAATCTCTACCGGGAAGTTTACGAACAGGCGGAACAACAAGGATTTCTGGGAAAGAGTTGTGGCCATTTGTATTCCAATTGCCCCGTGGACTTCCTCAGCGGCATCAGCAGCCTGTTGAGCTAACAGTGTTTACCTGATCCATTCAACTAAATGTCCACAAGCAGACAGACTAATTAGCCGCAAACAGGAGCTGACCGAAGGCAATTGAATTTATGAAAATGTTTTCAATTTAATGAAGATTATCTGTAAAACAGACGTGTGTCTGGCAAACTTCAGACTTCATCTTGCCCAATGAAATTATGAAATATACACAAATGTTAGACTGCAATCGGATTTATTTCATCTGACCAGTCGGGTGGCTAGGTTTATTATGTCTATTTCACAGCTGGGATATGAACGATGGCATTGGCCCCCAAGGAAGCCAATCTGCTCCGCTCTTTCGTATTTCTCACGATAGAGCTGTTCGTCCTCGGCGAAGCCTTCGTGTTGAGAGGGTCTGGAATTTAGAGATAAGAAATGATATTAAATATAGTATTTATTATATTCGAATGGCATGGTAATATTAACATCACATTATTATAAGCAAATAAATGATACGTTTTCATATAAATAATAAGATTATAAAGATAATTCTTAGAAAAAATAAATTGGTTTTCTCAATGCCAGTTAACCCATGTGAGTTAGATAATATCTTAAGGTCAGATGTAAAGTAACATAATATTGAGGACCTACATATTTCCGAAACCTCGATTCAACTCATTGAAAAAAACATAACACGTCATTGAGGAATGCGCGTTTTATTTTTAGAAGTATAAAATTTAGTTTGTAAAAAAAGTTAGTTTTAATAAAATGGTTATATAATTTAATTTATAATGGCAACTTACGTGAGCAGGAATGTGATGACCTGGGTGACCATTCCGTAGAAATGGTCTTGGGCAAAGGGATGCAGGGCCAGCTCGCAGACGCTTCGCAGCAGACAGGATCTGTGGAAGCCGTAGGTCTCCAGCATGTGCTCCAGACCCTTGTACAGTTGTCCGGCCGTAAAGTCACCCGGATGCATGCCACCCTCCAGATCCACCGGCTGATCCAGGCTATTCCCCAACTGACGCTTTTGCCTGCGGGCCAGCTCATCCGCCCAGATGGTGGCATTGTAGAAGGCGGACACCGTGGCCGGCAGGTTATAGTTCATCTGGAAGCCCATGTCCATGAAGACCTTGGTGCGGGTGTTCAGATCGGCGGGTATGGAGATGGAGGAGGTCAGCTGCAGCACCGTTGAGGCAGGATATAACAAGATACCATGAAGCGGGTGAACTAAGGTGATCAGCACTAAAAGAAGGAGATTTCCAACGTTCTGCAGCTTTGGGCGATACATGGCGATGTGATCCACTTGGAGAGCACGCAACGAGCCACCCGAAATCGAGTTCTCGCCATTGTCTATTTGGGGATTAATTAAGGCGAGCTGCAAATGAGCGGATCAACGACCAGAGCCATGTGCGTGAACAGCAATTAGAACGGTCCACGAAACACCTCCGAAAGTGGAGCGTATCTTCTTCCATCATCGCAAGTCAGCGTGATCTGGCCAATCAAGAGGCTTCTTTGTCTTGGTCTATTCTTTTCACCAAGAACCACTTAATTCCTTGAAACCATTCTAGGTGATACACTGAAAAACGACGCATTAGATGTTTTATATATTTAGGTTTCATATATTTTGAAGAGCCTTATTCAATTGCATTTATTTCTACCCACAAAAAAAAAAGCATATCGTCGTAAAATCGATATGCGCATGTAAATTTGTACTCTTTTCGAACTTATCAAATTTTCTTGGCCGTATATTAAGCTAAAATTGATATTATATAATGTAAAATAATAATAATAAAATATCACCAATTTAATTGAAATTTCTTTTCTGTGTACCCTTTCTCAATGCAGAGCTGTCAATTTCTTGGCCAAACAAATATTGCGTTCCCTGTGGATCATGGCTCAGATCGAAGTTTAAACAAAGCCGGATTAGTTAGCATTGCACTCCAATACAAACAAGATGGTCCACAGGGTTCTCACCTGGCTTTTGCTGCTCCTAACTTTTGTATTCACTATTGATTTGGTGTTGAGCCATACCAGGAATATCTATACTTCAGATGGAAATCGCTTGGGATTAAGTAGAAATCTTCCAGATCCAGAAGAAATTAGTAACAGCAGTCTTACTCCTTTGAGTCGATCGAAGCGTTTGGCCATCTACAATGGCCAGGGCATTGTCAAGGTGGGATTTCTATATTTTGTTATTCACCATTTCAGTTAATCTAATCCTTTACAGTTGGTTCCAAGCTTGGCGTATCCCGTCAAACAGACCGACAAGGAGCAATCCTTTTGGTGGTTCTTCAACGTGCAGGGCCAGTGGATCCCCACCACCATTCCCATCTACTGGTGGAGCTTCTGGAACACCACGGCCTTCGTGTCCACCGCTCGTGAGTGGCGCAAGGATATGCAGGCGAAGGTTTTGCACGATGAGGCGCGCTCCTGGGTCTACAATGCCATCGAAGTGGGCATGGAGCAGTGAGTGTGGTTAAAATATATTATATCATATGATAATAGATCTTATAATCCCTTTCTCTCGCAGATTGGATGGAGCCTACGGAGGAGTCTGCTTGCTGAGAAGCATTTGCGAAATCTCGCAGAAACCCTTTCAGAACAGCAATATTTTTAGCGAGATTGTAAACTCGGTGCTGGTGTAAGTACAGCATTTTATTTAACAATTTTATTTGAATTGATTTTATACTTATTTATAGACCCAACTTGGACAATGTGGCCAGTAAGTATCTGCACGCCAGGGATGCGGGACGAGGAGGAGCCGACTGTGAGCGGACCTATAGCGACTGCAACCCACTTCTGTGGACCCTCGTCAAGAACATGGCCAAGAACCCATTTTAAATAAATCAGAACACATCATCTTATCCTCCAGGCACTCAGGGAAACACCATTTTAATTTCCTCTTTAACAAAAAAATTTTTGAAATGCTTCAGAACGTCCCCGATTGCAGCCTAATTATTTTTCTTGCAAATGGCTCGTCGGCGGAACTCGGCCCAGACCTCGCAGAGCATCGGCTTCACCAGGCAGGTGCACTCCTTGAGGGGCAGGGCGCCGGGTCTCAGGCGCTGGCACTCCGAGAAGGAGGGATACGGCGTGCGGGGCTTCACACAGGGCAGGGGTCCACGTTCCCTTTTGCACGAAGGGGGTCGACGACCGTCGCGATGGCAGCGACGCGCCAGTCGCGGACAAGCCTGCTCCCTGGCATCCGGACAGGGCTGCGGACAGGCGGTCGAGGGCTTGAACGAGGGCTTCCGGCGCTTAATGGGCGCCGGCTTGGCCTTGGCAAAGCAGCAAATCTTCTTCGGCTTGATCTGGATGGGCGGACAGGCCACCCACGTCTGCCAGTACTTTCGCTTGGCCTTGTCCGACTCCACGTAGTAGATGTCGTCGAAGCGCGGATTAAACGGACAGGCCGTGTCCTCGGGATCGCAGAATGGATTGAGCCACATCGACACCGACTGGACCATCTTGGGCTTCTTCTTGGGCGGCGCCTGTATTTCCGGCTTCCCGCAGGGGAACTTGGTCAGCACCTTGGGGCATCGGTTTTCGCCCTCGCCCTTCTCACAACCGGATGCGAATCGCACACAGCTATTCACTGCACTCATCATCGCGGAGGCTGGACGGAGGAGCAGTGCCCGTGGGGGATTCACACTCATCGCCATTCTGAAGCTAACAAATTTTGAACTTTTGACCGAGAAAAATGTTTCCAAAATTTGTGGGCCCGGGAAATTTTGGATGGAATTTAGAGAAAGCCGAAACTGGACGGGAGAGACCTATCCAGCTCGAGAACGGAATGAGAACTGATGCCATTGGGCTACCCACCAACCCACATAAATGACACGACGCGGAAGTTCATTTCTCAGTTTACTGAGTTCATATTTTTCTACCACCACTCTGGGTGAGGAAGTCCAGAACATTGTAAGGACAACTGGGGGAGTAGAATCGGACGCAGTCCTGGACGTCCATGCGATGTCTGTACTTATCATCGGTTATCTCCTCGGGCACTCTGTAAATTTTTAAATTTAATAGATTTCATAAGACTCATTATAATATTTTATATTTTAACTCACGTCAAGACAATCCGCATTAGATCCTCCATAAGAAAACCCTGGTCATGACCTGCATTAAATTTAGCCCTCAGTTCGCACATGGCTCTCTTAATACAGGACCTAAGATCCAACTGGAAACTGCGGAAAAATATTATATTATTTAATTTTATATTTTTTTATTTATACCCACACTTTTCCCATCGCCTCGAACTGATCAAAAATCTCTCGGCGCTCTCTATAACCACGATTTAGTTTCCAACTGGGCACTTGAGTCCAGGATTCGTAAACCTCTTCAGCCGGTTGATGAGAATTCTGCCGATTGGTATTCGAAGCTAAACTCCAGGGGGTTTGGTAGAATGAACCTCCATTTAATGCGGGACTATAAAAATTAATATTGAATTATTGTTTTTTAGAAATAATATAACTATATATCACTTACGTAGTTTTATAGACTTGTTTCCTGGGTTGATAGAAATTCTTTCGACTAATGGGCGAAGCTAGACTCCATGGAGTTTTGTAAAATGTATCCCTACTGAAGGCGGGACTAAAATGGAATTTATTTTTAAAGTATTTCCTATAACTATAACCTGTAGAAACTTACCTAGATGCAGTTTGATAGAATGGTGCTCTATTAACGGCAGGGCTGAAAAATGATACTTGTAATTATATTAAACCACAAGTTGTTTATATTTACCTGGTGTAATAGGTATTTTTATTAGGCGTAGAATAGTAGGGATTATATCTAAAAGGTTTCTTGTAATATGACCAATCATATCGTCGTTTTGGCATGGGTTTTGGCTTCAACCTCTTCAGGATCTTGGGCTGCCAACCCTCCACGGTGTCGGGCAGTGGAACGTACATGTCGAACTCCAAACTATACTGAAGTCCACTAGGTCTAGCACCCACAATGATTTTGGTTAGGGCGGCGGTCAGGAGAACGGAGGCCTTGTCCGGGAATACCAAACCCCGCACCCGTCGCGATAGAATGCGATTCTCCAGAGAGGAATCCACCAAATGGGTGTGGTTCCCCTGAACCGATGCGATGGCTCCGAGCCAAAGAAGTACCAGAATCGTGGACCTCATGCCGTCACTCCAAGAACCCAACTGATCGTACTAGCCGCTGAAAATTAACGCCAGTAGTAGCGCTAATTGAGAAAGGTGGCTTACAGCATCAGGTGGGCCTTGATTCGTAGGCAGCTTACATGTCACGTTGATTTTTTTTGGGGAGCGTTTTCATTTCATTTCATCAGACGCCGCCTCTTTAGAAGCAGGCTACGTTTTGGCATTTCTAAAACCATTACACAGTCCTCAGACTTTTTTTTATCAATTACTTTATAGCACACAAACACGTCCCAAGAATGGTGAACATCCAGGGATGCACCCGGATGATGGTGAACCGCTGCATCGAGCTCCTGCGGGCTCGGATCGAATGCGCCTCCACGCGTCACATCGCCAGGCGCTACCAGCGTCCCAGGGATGAGGGTAAGGCTCCTAGCCAGTATCTTCCCGAGGAGCAGGTGGTCAGGGAGCGGGAGAAGGCGGACATCTACAAGAAGAACAAGCGGCGTTCCATGTGGGAGCAGGACGAGGGTCACGGAGGTCGAATCTCCGGAAGGGACGAGCAGGAGCGCTTCGATGAGGAGCAGTACCGACCGCGGGAGCTGCAGAAGCGCAACTACGACTGCACCTGGGTCAATTTCCCGGAGAGTGTGGCGGCCAAGCAGAGCCGCAGGCGAAGCTACCTGGAGGTGATGGATGAAGAGGAGACACCTCGACGTCGCAGAAATCAGGTGAGGTTTGGGTATATCTTTAGGTAAGAAAATGTGGTATTCAAAAAGTGGGCAAGAAACTATTTTATCTTAAAGCTATTTGTTAGAAAATCACTATCATATTTTTAGCACATTTTTTTAAAGTAGATTAATCACTTTAATTAGGAAGACCGACCGAATACAGCCAAACCCTTTGATGAGGAGGCCCGTGCCTTCATCAACCAATGGGACACCAATGCGGCCATGATCAATCGCAACCGATTTGCCCGGACCACCGATTCTTGTCCGCCACCAACTATATCTTCCCGGATGTCAGATGCCTATCGCACCCGGAAACGCCAGTTCTTATACTAGTACTATTTGGGGCTTTACTCGACAGTATCGGCGTAAGAAATTCTAACGATTGTACTTCCTAGTAGCCTGATCAAATTGTTAGTGCACAAGGCATCCGATTTTAAAGTGTCAAAATCCGAAAACGTATTACAATGTTGTGTGTCCAGATGTGATTTCAATATCCAAATAAAATATCAAAATTTATTCTTCATGGCTCTTCGGGGGTTTGGGAGATTTCTTCCCACATGGAGCTTACTGCGCAGAATGTCAACCAATCAAAAGGGTTCTGAAAACATTCCCAAACTTAACCCAATCAGGACTATGGAAGATATTCTAAAAACTCTTAAGCAAAGGATCCCGAAGAAGTCTCGAAAATGTCCATTTAATCCCAAGGAACTGCAAAGAGAAAGACTTACAATGTTCATCAGACGAAAGCTGTGGGGCCATCGACGACCGTTCTGGAAGAAGGATTTATGAAACTGACAGGAAATGATTTATGGTTCTTGAATTTAGAAATCTTACTTTGAAAATAAATTTGAATTAAAAAGTAGGTTTGCAAAGGTTTGTGTCTGCACTAATGGTTTACCCAAGTTCTCCACCATTTCTTTTTGATATGGTTTAGTATATATCTCAGATTGAAATAATATATTTTTGTAACGGCCTTTCCGCGGTCACACTGGAAATCGCGTTTAATTGTTTATTATTCGGCGGTTGGTTTTTAATTGTTTTTCGACCATGGCGCTCCTAAGAAATGCCTCCAACGGCTTTTGGGGCAGCTTCCGTCGGTTCGCCAGCAGTGGATGCACCATCTACAGCCTGAGTTCCGGTCATGTCAAGTGCGGCGTCTCCGTAATCCGCGTCTCTGGGCCGCAAACAAAGAAGGCACTTCGAGCCATTGTCGCCAATAAAGAATATGAACCAAAGGCAAGTCAATTGATATATAACGAAGATATGGGGGCCTTGACCCACAAAATAAAAGCGGTTTTTTTAACAAGGGACAATCCATTAATGAAAATAAATGTTGAGGTTCAGGACATATACCATACAACAACTGTATGATGTTCTTTATGACCCTAAAGACTGAAACTAACCGAATTTTTATTTAATACGTTTTTTTATTAATATTACATTTTTTATTCAAAAATTGTAATAGCTTTTACTTGAGTTGCTAAAAGATGTATAAACAAGTTCTTAACCCATTATTTCTCAAGACCTGTTGATTTTGTTTATGTTTCAAAAAGGTAATTGGTATTGTACTTTTTAGAATAGTAATTTCTTAGTGTCACATTAATTCTATTTAAGACAATTAATTTCACTTTATTTCATCCTGTGTTATTTCGATAAATAATAAGTAAATTTAAATATTTTTATAAGTAACATGGGGATCTGTAGGGTTAAGAGGCATCTTTAATCGTTATAATTGGCATCTTGCCAAGTTGTATTTAAATAATTTTATTCATAGACAACCAAGTTTTAGTTCGTCCACTCTATAGTTGGGAAAATATATATTAGTCAGCTGGTTTCAGTTTTTTACCTGGAACCTGCGGAACAAAATTATAATGAGTTGCTAAGTGACGCTAAAATAATTACCGTGCTCGTGTCGCATGATTAAGATTAGTAATAAATTTAGTACACCTATATAATATTTATTTCTCCAAATCCTTAAAAAACAGGCTCGCCAGGCGTATCTGAAGTCCTTCTACCATCCTGCCAGCAAGGAGATGATTGATCGGGGTCTATTACTTTGGTTCCCAGGACCGGCTTCCTTTACAGGCGAGGATTCCTGCGAGTTCCAGGTTCACGGATCCCTGGCGGTGATTGCGGCCATGCTGGATGCTCTGGGAAAGGTGGATGGTCTGAGGCCAGCGGAACCGGGAGAGTTCACCAAGAGAGCCTTCTTCGGAGGCAAACTGGATTTGACGGAGGTGGAGGGATTGGCCGATCTCATCCATTCCGAAACGGAGGCACAGAGGAAGCAGGTGAGCAGTGCAATTTAATCTCTAGGATCTAATCGAAGTTAAATTTCCTCCTAGGCTCTCTTGCAAAGCACTGGAGCTCTGGCCCGCCTCTACGACAACTGGCGGCGCCGACTTATCCGGTGTGCCGCCCACCTGGAGGCCTATATAGACTTCGCCGAGGAGGAGCAGATCGAGGGCGGCATTATCCTGCAACTCACCAAAGAACTGAAGGCGGTGAAGCGGGAGATTCGCGAGCATTTGAGTGACCAGCGGCAGGGAGAGCTCCTCCGGGATGGAGTTCGCACAGTGATCATAGGAGCACCCAATGTGGGCAAGAGCAGTCTGCTCAATCTCCTGTGCCAGCGATCCGTGTCCATAGTGACGGATCAGGCGGGCACCACGCGGGATATTATCGAAACAATGCACAATTTCGGGGGATACCCGGTGGTATTTTCGGATACAGCCGGATTACGTAGATATACCACGGATAGTATAGAACAGGAGGGAATGCAGCGGGCTAAGGACTGCCTGGCGCAATCCGATTTGATATTGCTCCTGGCAGATGCCAAGGATATCACACAACTGACTCATGATGAAGCCGTCGCCACATTTGTGGATAGTTATCTGGGGGAATTGGATATCCCGAGGGACTTGTGCTCGGGAAAACGACTGCAACTGGTGGCCAATAAAACGGACACCCTGTCGACTGAAGAATCCCAGCAGTTACACCAGCTATCCAATGTCCTGGCCATATCCTGCCATAAGCCCGATAAAATGCCCGCATTTCTGGGCTCCCTGGAGAAGCAGCTGCAGGAGCTGTGTGGTGAACCGCGGGCGGAGAATCCACGCATCACCAACACCCGGTACCGGCAGCAACTGGAGCGCTGCATCGAGAACATCGACATCTTTCTGCGAGATTACAGACCCGATGTTTACCCGGACATGGCCATTGCCGCCTCCAAGCTGCGCAACTCGGTGCGCTGCATCGAACGCATCACCGGACACATCAGCTGCGAAGATATACTCGACGTCGTCTTTAAAGACTTTTGTATTGGAAAGTAATTGATAATGATAGTTTATAGTTGTTAGGCTCGAAGAGTGTAAACTACTGCCCCCGTTGAGTATTTAATAAAGTATACATTTTAATCTATTGAGTTTAAAAATGGGTTTAAGGGGGGACTACACAACATAATATAATATTTTATTTCATTAAAAAATATTGAAGATGGGGACTATTTTTTATTCATAATAAATTGCAATTTTCATATATATATTTAAGGAATTATCTAACTTTTAACTTTAAATTATTTTTAAAAATAATAAAAATGTAATTATTTGTGAACAAATATAATTTTTAAAAATCCCGCTATTTTTAGTGAGACAAATTGAAAAAAAAAATCAAAGATTGGGGCTATTTTCTATTCATAATAAATTGCAATTTATATATATTTAAGGAATTGTCTAACTTTTAACTTTAAATTATTTTTTAAATTTACAAAAATGTAATTATATTTCAACAAATATAATTTTTAAAAATCCCGCTTTTTAGTGTGACCTTACTTTTGGCGGTTACAATTCGGTAACTGGTCACACAGCTGGGTATTGTTTACGTGTTTTTGCCTGCAGACTTTTGTTTTATTTGGAAAATATGTCATCCTGGATCACAGGACTGGCGGACAAGGCCGAGAACATTCTGAACAAGCTGGACCAAAATGCGGCAACGGCCCTGCAGACAGACAGCCCCACCGGAGGAGCAGGAGCAGGAGCAGCAGCGGTGGATCCCATGCGCAGGAGCATGACCAGCAGCACCCAGTCATTGTCCCTAAAGTCCACTTTGTCGCCAGCGAGGCGTTCGGGCGCCAATAGCTCGTCCAGTGTGAAAAGCGAGGGCGGCGGCTCCGTGGTCACCAAGGAGATGCGCCAGAAGATGACCACGTCGGCCAGTTTCTCCCACAATTCCGAGGCCGGTCTCTCCGACACCCACGAACTGGCTGCCTTTAAGATCGCCTTGAATGAAATCACAGCCGAGCGGGATGAACTGCGTCTGCGGCTAGAGGAACTCAACAACGAGTCCGAGAAGTTTGATCTGCATCAGCACAGCCAAATGTTGGAGGTTCTGGTCAAAACACTCTCCGAGGAGCGGGACAAGGCGGTCCACGACCACAATGAGGCTCAGAGCGCCAACATGGCGTATGTGCACTCCATTTCCGAACTGGAAACCAATCTGGCCAAACTGCAGCAGGATTACCTGAGCACCGCCCACAAATTGCAGATGCAAACCAAGGAAACGGATCAGCAGCGCCAGGAACTGCAGGAGTACCGAGTCAAGGCTCAGCGGGCACTGCAGGCCAAGGATTCCCTCATCGCAGAGTTGAAAGCCAGGCCCCAGGGAGATGAGGGCTCAGATCCCAACCTCCTAACCAAGGACAGCGAAACGCGTTTCCTGCAAATCGAACAGGAATCACTCAAACAAGAACTAGAACATGCCAACGAGGAGCTGCAAAAGGCGCGCCTGCAGCTGGAGGATTACCTCTCCCAGGAGAGACAGCGCCAGCTGGAGCTGAGCTCGGCCCGCCAGCGGGAGGAGTCGCTGGCCAAGGAGTTGCGACAGGCACGCGAGCACAGTGTGACCTCCGAGTCCGATCAAAGAGTGCTCACCCAGGAGTTGGCCTCACTGCGTCAGCAGCTCAGCAACCAGATGGCCGCCTCCGCCACTCGCCTCCAGGAGCGGGAGCAGCAGCTGCAGCAGATGCGCCAGCGGCTCAGCGAGGAGGCCAATACGGGAGCCAAAAATGATTACGAGACGCGGCTGAAGGCTCTAACCCAATCGCTGGTCGAAAGGCAGACGCTTTTGGAAAGGGTAACAAGTGAAAGGAATGCCCTGCGTTTGCAGCACGAGAAGGCACAGACGCAGCTGCAGCAGAACATGCACTTGGTGGAGATGGAGAGCCAAAGGGGCAGCTCCCGTCATGCTTTGCGCAACAGCACAGATGATGGTGGGTGTAACATGGTAGAAAAATTATATAAAATCCTTAATAATCATATCTTATTCCTTAGTTAAAGCACAATTCCCGCTGCTCATGCATCCCAGTCCCTTCGACAATCGTGTGGCCCGTCGCTTCAAGCGAGCTCTTCGCCAGGCCGACTCCATGGGCATCCGGGTGGGCGCCTTTCTGCGTCGCTATCCCATGATGCGGGTCTCTGTGATCGTCTACGTGGCTCTGCTGCATCTGTGGGTCATGTTTGTGCTGCTCTCCACCACGCCAAACTAATCGTGCTTCGAATCGAATTGAGCAATTTGTTTTATTTTTAAATATCGTATGTATTGTATTTTACACGCCAAAATTGGTTATCTAGGAGTACGAGTATATGTGTGTCATGTTTGTGGTTGCAACAATTGTATATATCGTTAGTATACTGGTGTCTCGCACTCGTTCTAAATTCAATATTCAATAAACATCAACTATGTACAGAAATTGCAATTGGTTTAACGCTAAAAACATCAAGCAAACAAGTAACAAGACCGAAAATATTCGCACTACTAAGTTAGGATATAAGAACGATTGATTCCTCACAGTTAAAATATTGCATAAAGAATCCAACTACAGAGACTGTAGAGTTGTTAATTAAACGTGAATTGGATTAACCCCAGTTGCTGGGCAGAGCTGGTGGTTCTAGCTAAGCGGAAGAATATAGAGAGTAGAGGCTCTTGGGACGATTCGCGTAAAATAGACGCTATATGCCCCGCAAGTTCTTGTATCAGTCATCGGCATGGTAGCTCACATAGACGGCATCGCCACCGATGCTAATCAGGCACTGACCCTGCGAATAAATAAGTTGCGTTAACTTTAAGGCTTACAAATATCTAAAGTATTTTTTGGCTTGCCTGATTCTTGTGCTGATTATCGAACAACATTAGTTCGGTGATGTAAAACGAGACCATGGCATTTCCGCCCAGAGAAGCGATGTGGGCTCTGACCACAGCCAGCAGTTCGGTGATAAAGCCATGGACAAATCCACTGATTCCGCCATTCTCCCGGATCGAGGTGCTCTCGCGGATGAAGAAAAAGTTCAGGTTGCCCAAGTACTTGTCTATACGACCGCCAGGTATGAAACTCAAAGGCGTCAAATCCACTCCGTAACGATCACGCAGAGGAAACTGTCGATAAATATTAATATTTAATAATATAAATAATAAGAAAACCAATCTATACTTACATATCGATTACGAACAGGCCCAACATTCAACGCCTTGACTCCGGTAGATGGCACTCCGGAAACCAGATTGTTTAGCCGCGATGGCGAAGTTTTGCGCATTTTAAATGAGCTCATTCCGAAAGGCGGTATAGCAGTACTGGTCGGCGTGGGTGTGTCCACCATCTGATCCTCGTCCAGCGGAAAAATGTAGTCCTCCTCCTGCAGCGTTCGTTTACCATTTAATTCCGGCTGCGATTGGGTGGCGTGCATTGTGGCGTCATGGAAGCCGTTCTGCTGTTGCGAAGGCGGTTGCTGCTGCTGCTGTTGTGCCACGCGACCACGTCCACGGTACTTCATTTTATTGGCATCGGTTAGACCCATTGCCATGCCAGTGACTAGGAGTTGAATTTGATCCTGTAAAGTGCAATTTGTATAAAATATGGGTAACTATTAACAGAGAGTTCTTAGTTTACTTACCGTTTCCGGCAGATCTAGACGGAAACGAAGATCGCAGATGGCACAGGGTATCATCGTGCGCAGCTTGAAGTAAATGGTCTGCAGCAGTCTGGGAAAACACATACTTTTAGCAAGATAATCATGCTAAAAAGTTCATAACCCACCTCTGAAAGTGTTTGGGGAAGCCGTTAACACTTTGGCCCACCTCCAGGCGAGCGCGCCACACTTGGGTGAACATCTGCAGATTCTTGATCGTGTCCATTTCCAGCATTCCCGGCACCTGCTGCGTATTGACCACATGGAAGCCCTCCGGCGGATATGGCTCCATTAACAGCGAAATTATTTCCAGATCTTCGATATCGTCCACTTCTAAAACACACAGCTCTTTGTTGCCGCAATTTAGATCGATCTCGTTCATCTCCTCCTCATCCGAGTCGTCTGTATCGGATTGCTTATCCCCAGAGGCGTTGGTGGAGGCTGCTCCTGCCGCCAAATCAGGATCCAAGCTCTTCAGCTGGTAGATCTCCTGATTGCGCTCAAACGTTTCTTGCAACTTCTTTTGCAACTCATTCAGCTTTTGCTTATCGGTCCACGAATTACCAGCCACGATCTTTGGCACCTGCGGCACTGGCAGAGCAGTGAGAAACAGAGCTGTTCCCGTGGCTATCAACGCTATCATGCGCTCTCCAATGGCCACCTGGGTGCGCAGCCCGAAGATGGCATTCATGCCCTTGGCCTTCAGCTTGTTGATCAGCACTCGATGCAGTTCGTACTCCAGGAAGGGCAGTCCATCGGATATCTCTTTGGCATTCAGCTCGGCACGCAGATCCCTTTTGGCCCGCACCACTTGGGCCTGCATGAAGCAGCCGCGTCCGGTGACCTGCATGAACTCGGGCACTTCCAGCGTGGCCAGGAGTACGTCCGGTACTCTTCCCTTGCGGCACACGGCGCACTTCTTCATCTTCACGTTGAAGGGCACGGAGCTTAGGTTGTAGGGTATGTGGCAGATGGCACAGGCATTCCGTGGTCCATTTAGCGGGGGCAGACCGTAGCGTTTGCCTCCCGAACTGTTTCCGGTGCCCAAGGAACCGCTGTCTTTGCCAATGCTCGTATCGCCGGCACTGCTTCCGTTCCCCTCCTCCACGGAATTCGTCATGGCCGCCACGCTGGCGGCTGCCTTTGACATGGTAAAAATATCGGTTTGCGATACAGATCGATTGAACACCATGTTGATCACTGCCGCCGTTCCGGTGGCAGAAAGAACGCAGACGTCGTCACTGCAAAGCAAAGATAGGGTATTAATTACGCTTATCTCAGCAGGTTTACTGGTTTATTTTGATGGTTTGAATGTCACATGCTTAAAATAAAATCTTATATCATAGGAATAAACTTTTACATAGATTATAAAAGTATACTTACGAAATGGTTGTGGACTCGGCATAACCTAGCACCACATTACAGCCCAGGGAACGCGCATGCGATCGAATCTCCATGCGCAGCTCCGTCCACCAGCTGTCTCGAACCTCCGGCTCATCCGGATTGGGCACGCGCTCCAGAAGTTTCACGGAGCGAGCGGCAACCGTTGCACCCAGATGAAGAATAAAGCCCGTCGGGTACTTTGTCATGGTCAGGAAGGGATACTCCAACATGTCGAGGCTGTCGGCTGCTGTTCCCGGTTTGGCTCCCACCGGCGGCTGCGTTAAACGCATCATAGCGGTGGCCGCCACCAGACGCTCGCTGGCTACACAAATAGAGTTTCCTGGGAATTAGGAAGGTGCCATAAAATATTAGACAAAATTAAATCTCTCGTAAGTCTTACACATAGTGAATACATTTATATATTTACAGAGGAATGTCTTAAGCCAGAAGATACATTGATTGGAATTTACACTTCATTTGATTTGCCAATTAATGAAAATGAGTTTTACTTTAAATACCCTAATATAACCGACAAAAGTTCAATACAGAGAATTTTTATTGTATAAAAATTATATTAACCAATTCTATAGATTTAGAAATGGTAAAACAAATTAAAACCTCTTAACTCAGATCCTCAAAGTACATCAAGTCCCTCAACTGTGTTCACACGTAATGATAGTGTAGTATAACATTTAAGGATAGTTCAGTTCGGATGAGGCATTCGCAAGATATGTATAGGAAAGACTTGGCGATACAGAACAGAACAGCAGTCGCGAGTTAAAAAGACAGATAGGAGCACGCACAGACACACAGAGGTACATCGAGTAAGGACACCGAGATTAGGCGGAGCATCTACTTACGCTTCCGGTGGAATGTAAAGGCTATGCCTGATGGCGAGATGCGGCAGCGGACGCAAAGATAGAACGTTGGAAGAGACGTTTACGGTTACTCAGAGACGAGACGGTGAGAAAAAGAGACACACGGTGACAGCAAACACACAAATTGAGAACTAGTGCTTAGAGCCTATAGTCTTATACTAGATCTTAACTAGAGGGATTCCCGGGGGATTCCTGATCAGCCCTGTTTCCGATTTTAAGACAAAACAAATTGATTCTTGTTGGAATATTATAATATACTAATTTGTACCTTATTTTAGTAATTAATGTAATTTTTTTAGATTTTTATGTCAATCCGTTCTGTGTGAAATTTGCTACTGACCGTTTTTTAGAGGTCCAATTTTATATTAGTTTAGATGATATGATAATATTGAATTGGTACTTCTACTTTCACCAAAAGTTAGGGATTTCATCCATTTAAAAAGACATAACTTCGGAAACAGGGCTGAGAACCTTGGAAAGCCCAACCTACATACCTTTGGGCGTGACACTTAGGTCGGAGTCGGAGGATCTGCGGCAGATCTCGCCGACGGTGGCCGGCACCATGGTCGTGGCCGTCGAGGCGGTCGATGTGGAGGCACTATCCGCATTCGTGGTCGCCGAGATGCCGCTCTTCGAGGGACTGGGCGTCAGCTTAAGGCGACTGCTGCTCACGGGAGAGGCGAAACGCTTCATATTGGGACTGCTGCCCTCCACCGTTGTGGGTATCATAGTGGACGGTCCTGCTGCTGCTCCTCCTGCTGTTGGCTGCTGCTGCTGTTGTTGGAGTTCAGTGCTGGATCTAAGTTCGCGTGGTTGTTGTCGTTGTCGAATGGCAAATGGAGCAAGCAATGATGAGTCATTATTGTGGTTACTATGGTTAGTACTATTAGAGATATTTACAGATCGATCTAATTGGGCAAGGCAAGGCAGGGGGTTATTTGAATCGAAGGTGAATAGACCGGATTGGGTGGGTGTGGGGGTCGAGGGGCAGACGCGCAGCTCGGGCGCCCTCAGCAGCAACGTGTTGGGCGGCACAGGAGCATCGAAGGGGGCCACCAGATGGTTTAAGGAGGCACTGCGCTGCATGGTCTTCTCGTAGCTGGGAAGGAAGTTAAGTTGCAGCATGGACGAGGACCCACTGAGATTGGATCCCAACCAATCGTCCGAGCAAGTGGGCAATTCCGGCTGTGAGCTGTAGTAAGGTTTGCGTTCCAGCGAGGGCACAAACGGAAGATTCGGTCTCTTCTCCAGCTCGCTAGCCTTGGGATTCAGGTGCATCAGCTTTTGCAGGCGGCGAGAGAAGCCTTTCAAGTCCTCCAGCAGATTGTGGTGCCTGGGTCCCAAGTCTTGCTGGCTGTTCTCACAGCTGCGTGTCTCGCCAGGTTTAATCCAATTATCCTGCAGATTCTCCTCTTCCTCCTCTGGGGAATCATATGCATTGCTATCGGGCGCATCTATTTCTAAGTCCAACTGCAGCGACTCCTCTTCCGAATCGGTGGAGTAATTAGACGACACTGGACGAGTAGTCTTGGCCTGAAACTCATCTAAATCGGGCGCTGAACGGGTGTTCTCCTGATAGTCCGACAAACCGGGCACTGTGAGAAAACTTTTGACTGGCATTTGACCTGGACGAGCGCCCGAATCGCTGCTGATGGAGCGTG